GCACTAAGCCATAGCATGCTGGGGTTGTTTTGGGTTGAAATTGGCATGTTGGATTTGAAGACATAGTTTATGATTTAGTGTTGAATCAGTCCACTGGGCATTAATCAACAAATCAAGACTAAGCATGGTTTTACCTGGTGTACAAACACAACTACTGTTTGTGCTACTATTGCAATAAAGTAATCTTTCCAAAGATTATAAATCAGTAAATGCTTTCCATTCCCTCTCCCCTAAGATCAGTTCCAACCTCGCCATGTAGGTTGCTTGGCCAGTCCATCAGTAAAAGAGAGTCATGGCTTTATTTAAAGCTGATGAATCAAACAAATATATTTCTTGCCAGATGAGGGTTGGCTTGGTAACATCACCTGTAATAAGAGCCGGCTGTATGTATTTTTATATATATTTGAAAAAAGTAGAGCAGGTTGTTAAAAAAAATTGGCCGGCTAATATTTGGGGCTCGTTTATTTTTAGAACAAATTAAATATGTTAAAGGGGGAAAGCAGCAGCCACCATGAGCCGGGATAATGTTTCAGCCTCACAAATATTATCCACTTCCAGACAGTGATGGGGAAAAAAAATCAACCTGAACTGAATTCACACGCTGTACCAAGATGTGGTGTGGTTGTCATAGTGCTGGCTTTGCGTGTATGAACTCACACACTTGTGTTTTGTTCAGCTGACCAGATGCAGAGTTTAGCACAATGTGAAGAATCTGTGCAGTGCTTATGTTCAGCTGAAAGGTTAATCTATAACATGGTACAAAGTGCTGTGTTTATCTCCATGGCTGGTGTGGGTATAGCTATTATGATTTCTGAACCAGAGTTTGTGGATTAGAGGTTGGTGCAAATGTAGTTACTTGTGCATAGCTACTAGTATGGTTTTCCCAGTTGCAATGTATGGCTGTGAAAGTTGGACCATAGGGGGACCTAGACATTGGTTAGAAATACAGATAGCCCTTGACTTACAATCATTTATTTACTCACCATTCAAAGTTAACAATGGCCCTGGAAAAAAATGTGACTTATGAGCGGTTTTCACACTTGCAACCGTTACAGCATCCCTATGGTCATGTGATCAAAATGCAGATGCTTGACAACTGGCATGTACTTATGACAGATGCAGAATCCCTGGGGTTTGTGGATACCTTTTGCAACCTTCTGGCAAGCAGAGTTCACTTAACAACTGTGGCAAGAAAGGTGGTAACATGGGGCAAAACTCATTTAACAACTGCCTCGCTTAGCAGTCGAAATTGGGTCGTAAGTCGAGTATACAATCTGCTTCCTGGCACAGCTGAGAATCCTGAAGCCCCTCCATCCCAGTTAATGCTATAGCTGGTGACCGGCATGTCATGCTTATTTCCTACCTGAGCAATTTCATTCACTCCAGTGGAATTTATCATGTTGATAAAACAGACTGGTGGTGTGAAGAAGAATGAGAAGCCTGCATGTGTTTACCTGCTAATTTGAAATAGCACATTTACCAGTGGCTGTGACATCCACATGGTGGCCTAAAGCCACAGATATCTGAAACTGTTTATTTCTCACCCTCTTTTCCTGGCACGTATTCTTCCCTTCTGACATTCTGAGCGTGCAGGTCAGCAGTGATCCAATCTGATTCCTTCAGACTCTTTCATTAAGAATGTCAGCGCACAACGGCGGAGGCTGTTATCAGGTAGCTGCAGGGAAAAAAAATAAAAAGCAATCGGAAAAGGACAGGCCAGCATTTTGCACTGAAGGAGAAACGTTCACAAATCCTAGCAGATTTGGCCTCTGTTAGCCCATTTAATATGCCTGGATGTATCAAACCAATCTTGGTTAGTCTTGGCCCCACACTGGAGATTTTTTAAGAAGAAACTGGACAATCGTCTAGGGCAGGGATGACTGAAAATTGAAATGGTCTAGGGCAGGGGTGTCAAACTCAAGGCCAGTGGGCCAGATCTGGCTTGCGGGGTGCTTAGATCTGAGCCATGGGGCCACCGTGGAAACAGGGACTGGCCTGTGGTGCCTTTGCCAGCAAAAATGGAGTTCAGGAGGGCTGCAAGAGGCCGTCACAGCTGGAAACAGAGCTCGGGAGGCCATTTTCGTTGGCAGAGTGCTTGGGCAGCCACAGGCACCCCTGACACAAGTGATATCGAGCTGGCCCTGCTACCCACCCCTGCTCCCCTGAGATCAAACACAAACCTGATGTGGCCCTTAATGACACCCCTGGCTTGACACCCTTGGTCTACAGTTTCCTATTTGAGCAGGGAGGTTGGACTACAAGACCTCCAAGTTCCCTTCCAACCCTGTGACTCTGTTGTTCTGCATCAGTATTTTAGTTCAAGAACCTGACAACAAGAGCAAACTATCCGTTGTATATTGAGACTGGTCACAGAATGGATATAGGCATCAAGAAGTTATCAGAGACCCAGAGACACCAGAATTCAAGCACCAGCCTAAATTATATTGCGGTGGGCTGAGGTTAAGTACAATGTGTGAATCCACCAATGTGTGAATTGGCTTGTCAATTGCTGATGCCCAAAGCTGAAGTATATGGCTTAACATGATGTGAGAACCTCGCAATTGTCTCTTAGCCTACATGGAGCAAGTAACTGAGTCCACTTCCTGGAGATAAGTGGGAAGTGCGTGCTTGACAATTAGACAATTTAAAAAAACTATAAAAACTCAACCCACGTCCTGATGGGAACCAGAAGGATTTCATCATAAAGTCCAGATGTTACTGGACTTTTAACTCCTACCAGTTCCCACCAACATAACCCCATGATCAGGGATGGATCAGGGATGGAGAATCCAGCAATACTGTAGTCCCGATGATTGTGATGACTGAAGCTGATGGGATGTTGTCCATTCATGTCAAGCACAAGAAATCAAGAGTCTATGCAGTTCAAATGAATGTATGGGTTTATTGCATGCTAAAGCTGTACAAGAATCCGAATTACTAATGGTCAAAGTATATTGGCGGTAGATAAGGGTCAAAGGAATTCAAGATGGGCTGGCCTTAAGATCTCTTAAGGTCATGAAGCTACTCGAGACTGATGATGCATTTGACTCCTCCCTCCGGCTCAGCCTGGTTATCACATACAATTCACCTACAGACCCTAAAGATTTATCCGGCAATATACATTTGAAACAGACTTATATTAAAATAATAATGTTGCTAATCAATAATAATGATAATCATAATAGTAATATAGTTTTTGCTTATACATAATAATAGTCATAATAATATATTGTTTACTTGTGCATAATATTAATCTTTCATCATTTACTTATACATATTGGTAATCTTTTTTATTTTCTAATCTCTACTTCTATTATCTAACCACTGATAAAACAAGTCCCATGTTAAAAAACATTCTGTTTCTTCCTTGTCCTTTATTTTTAATGTCAATTTATCCATCTCTGCACAATCTAATATATTTTTAATTATATTCTCATCTTTGGGGGTATCCTCATTCTTCCAGTATCGTGCAAATACAATTCTCACTGCTGTCAACACATGTAGTATTAAATATATATTCCCTTTATTATAATTTTCTGGTATTACACTTAACAAAAACATTTCTGGTTTTAAGTCCATATGTTGCTTTACCATTTTTTCTAGCCACGTATGTATTTTCATCCCGAATTTTTTTTGCTTTTGAGCGTGTCCACCAAATGGGATAGTAAGAGCCTGGTATCTGATTGCATTTCCAAAAGTGAGTCAGACAATACACTGTTCTAATAAGTACTTACGTTGATTAAAGAAAAAATGTATAAATAACGTGTTTCTCATATAATAAGGATGGGTTCCTTATTATAAGGATGGGTCTTATTTTTTTTTGAGCCCCCCAAAAACGGCTAGGCCGTCTTTTCGGAGGTGACTTAATTTTTCCCCCCCCCTTGCATCTTTGGGCGGGCGGGCAGCAACGGCTTGGATGTTGACCTCGGCGTTGGTGGGGCACTTTGTATCGGGGTCAACGCAGGCAGCACCATATCCGGGTGTGCAACAAAAGTACTTCCTAATGGCAACACACACACACCCTGCCATCCCCCCCCCCATTTCGCATGTTTTAATATAGGCCTTAATTTGGGGGGAGGGGCTTAATTTCATTTCATGCCTATAAAACATGCTGGGATTTCCTATTGGGGGAGGCCGTATTGTTGGAGAAACAGGGTAAAATATACAAAACTGGCTGTTTCATAAGATCTCGTCAACCAGGAATTGGTATATCTAGTTTGATGAAAAGAAGGACTAGGGGAGACATGGTAGCAGTGTTCCAATATCTCAGGGGCTGCCCCAAAGAAGAGGGAGTCAAGCTATTCTCCATAGCATCTGAAGGGCAGGACAAGAAGCAATGGGTGGAAACCAGAGGTGGGTATTCAGCAGGTTCTGACCAGTTCTGGAAAACCGACAGCAGAAATTTTGAGTAGTTTGGTGAACCGGCAAATACCACCTCTGACTGGAGATTTTACAGTATCCTTCCCCTGCCACGCCTACCAATCCATGCCCACAGAACCGATAGTAAAAAAATATTGAATCCCACCACTGATGGAAAGTAATCAAGGAGAGAAGCAACTTAGAACTAAGGAGAAATTTCCTGACAGTTAGAACAATTAATCAGTAGAACTCCAGAAATTGTAAATGCTCCGACATTGGAAGTTTTTAAGAAGAGATTGGATAACCATTTATTTATTGATTTGATTTGATTTGTCAATCGCTTACAAGATAATAGGATTAGGGTTAGGGCTAATAGATTATACAATAGATTTTTTTTGCCTCAAGTATAAACATGAGTAAGAATACAGGAAATAGGTATGAATAAATGGGGACAAAAGGACAGGGACGGTAGGCACGATTGTGCACTTATGCGCGTCCCTTGTCTGAAGTGGTGTCGGGTTTCCTGCCTAAGCAGTGGGTTGGACTAGAAGACCTCCAAGGTCCCTTCCAACTCTTCTCTTCCCTCCCCTTCCCTTCCCTTCCCTTCTCACCGGGTCCCTTTCTGTCTCATTGTTACATAGAGATCCAACTGAACCGTAGCAGCTTCCTCAGCGAGATTACTCACTACGCAGAAACCAGCCGAGACATTATTATGCTGGATTCGTCCGTGCTTGTGGCTGGGGTAGTCATTGGCGTAGTCCTCTTTCTATCCTGTGTGGCCATCCTGATTGGCAGCCTGCGAAAGAATCATTGCTTTCGACATCTGCAGCTGTGGAGCGATGCCAGCTACAGTAAGAGCGTCTTCTATATATATTTTTTTTTTCTAACAGTACCCTCAAAATTAGGAATTCGAAAAAGGTAGTCCCTGACTTACAACCATTTGTTTAGTGATCATTCAAAGTCGCAACGGCATTGAAGAAAAGTGGCTTATGACCGGTTTTCACACTTACAACTGTTGCAGCATCTCAATGGTCACGTGATCAAAATTCGGCCGCTTGGCCACTGATTCATATTTGTGACGGTTGCCACGTCCTGGGCTTTGTCATCACCTTTTGCGACCTTCTGACAAACGAAGTCAATGGAAAAGCCAGATTCACTCAACAACCATGTAACTAACTTATTGTTCTGACCCAGGCTTCACAAAAATCACGAAGCCGCCTCCTCGTCCTGACAAAACCCCTTTTTATTAGTCTAATGTGAATTCCTCTCATTCACATCCAGCAAAGTCCCAGCAAACAGTCTTTCAAGAGTGATTGACAACCACAGAGTTGGAGAGTTGCCTTGGAGAGTTGCCAGGCTGATAGCTTCCAAGCACAACGCTGTAGCAGAAAATACTTGGCAAGGAGTCAAGAATCAAATCTTCACACTAATTAAATGAACTAATTGTCTTCTGCAAACTCCACTCCCCTTTTGCTCCTTTTTATTCCCTATGGGAGGGGCCATTCACCGTCCATCTGTGCCTTTACTCCCAAATCAACCCTTGTTCCTTAATTGTTCCCTTCTCCTGGCAGCTCTACGCATGCGCACATTGGGAACAGGCTCCAACTATTCTTCTGCCTCAGTGATCTCTGACTCCAAAGGCAGCTGATAACTGTCTGATGGCCCTGCTCCCATCTCTGCCTCCAACGCAGAGCACTCCTCAGAGCCTTCCCCAGATGACAGGACTGGCCCATGTTCCTCCCCAACCTCCTCACTCCAAGTCTGCCGCCAGCTCCACTGGCTGCTAGCCGGTCATAATTCTTAACAACTGCAGTGATTGACTTAATCACTGACAAGGAAGATCATAAAATGGAGCAAAACTCCCTTAACAACTGTCTTGTTTAGCAATGGAAATGTGGGGGCTCAACACTAGTCATAACTCAAGGACTATCGGTAATATGAGAGGTAAATATTTCCAACCTTTCTTTCTATAGCCCTCACTTCATCCTAACAGTTGCATTCCTGGACACATCCTAAATATTTGTGATTTAGGATTTCCAAGGCTCTTTGTCTCCCATTCTTGTTTAATCCACCTTTTGGAATTGTGCTAATATTACTTTTCTTTTCCCCAGCTCCAGACTGTTTTTCCTATGGTGGCTCCGTCGGAGAGCTAAGATCCAGCTGCGCTGAAGAATTCCCACCAACATTTTACTTTAGCTCTTACATGGAGGCACTTTCCCAGGCCAACATCATACATCCAGACTCGCCACCACGGTAAATCTCTTTTAATTGTTTAATTATTCTTTTAAAAGAGATTTTAAAAGGTAAAGGTTTCCCCTGCCTAGTCACATCTGATTCTAGGAGGTGGTGCTCATCTCTTGTTTCCTAGCTGAGGGAGCCAGCATTTTCTGAAGACATCTGCATGGTCATGTGGCCATCACAGCTATACGCCAAGGCGCATGAATCACTGGTAAAGGTAACTGTTCCCCTCGCACATACATGCTAGTCGTTTCCAGCTCTAGGGGGTGGTGTTCATCTCCGTTACAAAGCCGAAGAGCCAGCGCTGTCCGAAGACGTCTCCATGGTCATGTGGCCGGCATTACTAAATGCCGAAGGCACACGGAACGCTGTTACCTTCCCACCAAAGTGGTCCCTATTTTTCTGCTTGCATTTTTACATGCTTTGAAACTGCTAGGTTGGCAGAAGCTGGGACAAGTAACGGGAGCTCACTCCATTATGCGGGGCTAGGGATTCGAACTGCCAAACCGCCGATCTTTCTGATCGACAAGCTCAGCATCTTAGTCACTGAGCCATCATTATCACTGTTACCTTCCCACTAAAATGGTATCAGTTTAATCCACTCACATTTACATGCTTTCAAACTGCTAAGTTCCTATTAATTGCTGATGGTCAATTTAATGACCCTAACTCGTAAATTCATGTCTAACATTTGTTTAATGTAACTCAGAGTTTGACAATGGCTATTAACTCCATTTGCAAATCCCATCTTAACTTGGTTACTTCATCAAGCCATGTTCTGGGTTCCCAAAGTACACTGAATTGTCAATTATCCAAACCATAGATTCACACAATTCTGCTGCTGGAAAAGGAAGATAAAACCTAATCCAGATTTGTAAGCGGCACAAAAGCAATTATTGGACATTTGACTGAAATTGTAAATGATGTTGGATAGAATTATTGGGCATCATTGCAAAAATCAGCTGAAACTTCTTGATTTAAGGAATTGCGTTAAGAACAGCCGTATACTAAAACCATTGGCCCATATATCTCAAGTGCCTTTTGGTCTATGAACTCTTTCTGTTGTTGTTGTTGTGTGCCTTCTCTGAACAATTTCACCAAAAATTGTAAGAAGTGTACAAGAATCAGCAGCCTGATTTCCTATCCATTTCCAGATATAACACATACATACTAAAATGAAGAATAAAAAGTGTAGATGCATATTGTAAGTTGCCAAGAGCTCCTACTGTGAGATAGATGACTATATTAACCAAATAAATAAACACTGCATACTTTATCTACTACTTTGATGACTTCTTGTGATCTATCCACATTTCTGAGATTCTAAGATACAAAAGACCATCAGTCTGTCGGAGATGGAAGACTTACTTATCACAGTCAGAGAAAAATGATTTGCAAGCCCTGTTTCCAAAAAAGAAACCGATGGACATCTGGTTTCTCACTGATAAAAGAGGGACCTTTTGCAGCACAAGCATAAGAACAAGGCCTTAAGGGATTGCAACAAGATTCCATAAATAGAGTTTGATTGTGCAAAACCATAGCATTGGGAATGGAGCCAAGATGTTAGGTGAGACTGTCATTGTTTATTTGTGCAACATTTTGATTAGCCAGGTATAATATGGTATATTACAATCCACTGATATATATGATTGGATGGCCATTTTGGATAGATATATATTTCCTCATCATGGCTTTCTAACTTCCCTTCAGTTAAATCTATCTCTATAAATATGTGTCTATCGATAAATGGATGGATGGATGGACAGTCTGTCTGTCTGTCCATCAATTTATCGATCTATACATCTATCTATCTAACATCTGTCTATCTATCTACCTATATATGTATGTATCTGTTTGACTCTATCATCCATCTATTTGTCTTGTCTGTCCGTCCGACCATCTATTTATCGATCTATATATCTATCTAACATCTATCTCTATAAATATGTGTCTATGTATGACTATCATCCATCCGTCTGTCTGTCCTTCCGTCCATCCATCTATTTATCAATCTATAGATCTATCTATCTAACATCTATCTATCTATATCTATATGTATGTGTCTATGTATGACTCTATCATCCACCTGTCCATCCATCCATCCATCCACCTATTTCTCTATCTTCTCTTCTTGGATTCTTAAGACTTGGCTTCATTAGATCCAGTCCTGCCTGTAGCTTGAAGGCTGGCAGAAGGAGCTTGGTCAATCCCCCTTTCTCTTCATATTCCCTGGTGTAGAGGTGAGGGTGCCTTGTTTCTTCTCAGGTACTTTTTTTATTTAAGCAGGACTTCATTCCGGTAATTTGTAGAGTCTACTATGCTGTTCTCAAGGGGTGGAAACATACAGATTTTCTCCCACTGACTTAATTACAGGAAGCAAATTCAACTCCTGGCGAGAGGCCCAAAAAAAATCAGGGCTTTTTACAACCTTTCTCTTCCTGCAGCCTAAGTGGGAAGCTGGCCATCTGCTTAACTGATAAGAGTATCTAGAAAGCACAGCTTTTGTTTCCACCAGCTGGCATTTTTGTCCTCCAGGCAGGGTTGCCAACTGCCAGCTCCAGTAATCTTCCAGGTTTCAGCCTTTCTCACCCTCTTCTCCCAAACCTCCCCCTTCTTGCCTTCCCCTTTCACTGTGGGGCAGCGATGAGTCCTTGGTTTTGCATCCACCTTTTCCAGTTGCTAAGCATTTCGTGTTGAGTTACCGAAAGTTTAGCACCTCCCTTTAATTGCGGTGTTTTTCCACTGCAGTATTCAACACCACTGGATCCCAAGTCCAGTGTACTGAATACTTTGATATATTGCAGTTCTCTAGAGCTTCAGACTGGACTTCAAGCCAGCGGTAGATCTTAAAAGATAAAAACCTGCTATCTGTGGTGGGAATTTGAATCAATCAGTTCTCTTCAAATCCCCCTGCATTTACTTTGGTACCCTACATGCTGTAAGGGGCACAGTGGTTCAGTGGTTAAAGATGTTGAGCTTGTCAGTTGCAAAGCTGACAGCCTGGGTTTGAGACCTGAGGGCCATGCAGAACAGAACAGAATAACAGAGTTGGAAGGACGTTGGAGGTCTTCTAGTTCAGGGGTCTCCAACTTTTTGGACCTCAGGTCCACCAAACACATAAGTTTAAATGCCGCAGACCAGAGACCCTTGGACAATCCCAAGAAAAAGTCTGCAGGAAAATTCCCCACCCTGTTTTCCTACCAACCGATCATTCTTTATTTGGGATCGCCATCTTCAGCTCCATTCTCAAGGGGACAGAGAGAGAGAGAGAGAGAGAAACTTTTGGCTTCATGCAAGGAAAGCAGCTGAAGCAGCAGAAGTCTTTCTTTCTCCCTCCAAACTCCACCAGAAATGAGTCTTTGCCAGTGCAGCCTGGTGGCCAGGCCAGGTGCGTGGGGTGAGTGGGGCAAGTTCCCCCCTCCCCTCACTACCTCATATTGTTCACGATGCAAGCGACACAAACCTTGTGTTCCCACAGGCCATATGGGCAGCACAGCCTTGTGTTCCTGCACAGCCTGGATTGTTTTGGGGGTGACATTTCTCTGCGGACCACCAAAATTTTCTTGCAGATCACCAGTGGTCCCCAGCCCACTGGTTGGTGACCACTGTTCTAGTTCAATCCCCTGCTCAGGCAGGAAATCCTAGACCATTTCAGACATGTGGTTGTCCAATCTCTTCTTAAAAACTTCCAGTGTTGGAGCATTCACAACTTCTGGAGGCAAGTTGTTCCACTGGTTAATTGTTCTAACTGTCAGGAAATTTCTCCTTAGTTCTAGGTTGTTTCTCTCCTTGATTAATTTCCACCTATTGCTTCTTGTCCTGCCCTCAGGTGCTTTGGAGAATAGCTTGACTTCCTCTTCTTTGTGGCAGCCCCTGAGATATTGGAACACTAATGGATATTGGAACATATTGGAATACAGGTGATGGAGTAAGCTCCCATGACTTGCCTCAGCTCCTGTCCAGCTAGCAGTTCCAAAGCATGAGAATAGATAAATAAGAACCACTTTGGTGAGAAGGTAACAGCAGGGATCCCCAACCTTTTCGACGCCGCGGCCCGGTTCCGGCGTCAGCTGGGCGCCGCGGCCCGGTTCCGGCGTCAGCTGGGCGCCGCCATCTTTTTTTGACGAAAAATCACTTCCGGTTACGTCACCGGAAGTGATTTTTCATCAAAAAAAATGGCGGCGCCCAGCAACCAGCGGCCCGGTAAGGCTTGTTCCGCGGCCCGGTACCGCTCCGCGGACCGGCGGTTGGGGACCCCTGGGTAACAGCATTTTGTGAGCCTTTGGCATATAACCATGCTGGACACATGACCACAGAAATGTCTTTGGAGCAATGCTGGCTCCCTTGGCTAAGGAACAGAGATGAACATCTCCCACTAGAGTCAGATACAACTGGACAGGGGACACCTGTTACCTTTACCCTTCATGTGGAGCTGACGTCAGTGCAAAAGTAAATCCCACTGAGATCCAAGAGGCTTACTCCAAGTTCATGGGTTACAAAACCATGTGACTGAATGAGTTACAATGACCCCTTTATGGCTTGCAGAAGTCTGAAGAAGACTCCCTATGATAGATGCCAGGTTGTTGTTTTTCCTCTGGGTAACCATGTCAGGATAGCAAATGTTCTCATTGGTTTTGCTCTGTCCTAGCCCCAGGTTAAGAAGTGTGAAAAAATAAAATTTGTAGAGTACATTCGAGAATCGGTATAAAGAATCACTGAGGACAAACACCTTTTCATGTTATTCTACTGTTTTTCTCCTTTCCAGAGAGTTAAAGGAGGAATCATAAAATACAACGGTTAGGCACATTTAACAAAAGAAAATATAAAGCCATGTGTTTTTCAACTTTGACGATTTTAAGACGTGTGGACTTCAACACCCAGAATTCCCCAGCCAGCCAGGTTTAATGAGGGTTCTAAGAAAATGATTTGTTTAGACAGACTTCAGCTGCATCTGAGATTTTTAATACCATTGCAAGGTTGTTGAGGTTTTTTTTTTGCTCGACTGAACCATAACCAGTACTTGAAATGGAACTGTATGTAATGGGGAGATGGAAAGCACACGTAGATTTTTAAATGTTTTGTCCAGAATCAAATACAAATTGAAGATCTTGCCATACACATGCCCGATAAAGTTTGTACTGGGTGAAAGGGGCTTTCTGGAATTCTGGGGTTAGCATCCCTGTCATCTGGAGGGCACACGTTTTGGCAAAGGGCATAGGGGTCAAATGAGGCAGCCATTACAGCTGAACACAACATCAACATCTGGTACCAAATCTTCTGAGAATCGATTAACTTGCTCTTCTGACCAATGAAGCGAAGCCAAGTCCCATTTTTTGGTGGGTGGCTGTTCTTCATTTTAAATTTTGATGGCTATGCAGGGCAGAAAAACTATTTATATACAATTCTAATTAGGACATTAATTTATGAAAGATGCCTTTGGGATGCTAATAATTAAATTGCTTTGATGTACAAGCTACAGAAATCTCATTTGCGACTAAATGTGATTATCTCTCTAAATGTATCAGTAATCGGTTCTCATACGAGTCTACAGATTTCATTTGGGATTATTTTGCTTTCTTTTTCTTCCTTAATCAGGATCCTGCCAAAGCATTCAGATGGAACCATTCTAGTCTATTTTTCTTGAAAGGGTACATCAAAAGTAATGTCCATAATTATCCCTCTCTTCATGGATTTCCTGGAGACCCAAATTCACTGGAAACATGTCAGATCTATTTTAGAGTTAGTATTTTAGAAACAGCAGACACAGAGATTTTTTTTATAAAAAAAATTAGGCAGACAGACTTTATTTGGCTGCTCTGTGTAATGACTCAGACTTATTTGTTTATCTGTGTATTTATTTAGTAAACATATAGATCATCTCCTCTGGGTGACTCATAATTAAATAATTAACATTAAGTAAAAGTAGAATAACAGAATAGAATATTAAAAAGTTTATAAATTATCTATATAAAGAAGGAAAAATTCTATTATAGAATTTATTCTATTGTAAATTATTCTATTATTTATTCTATTGCAAATAGAATAAAAAACAGAATTTTAAAAATATAGCCAAGAAGACTTAAACCACAAAACAGCAATGCTATTATTTATTACAGATAAAGGAGAATATTTGTAGCTCTGGGTTAAAATGAAGGGTCCATGGTGCTGTGAGCTTGTTTTCTTCCAGATGTTTTATTACCAAAGTAGATCATATCATCAGTGCTCAATCTATTTATTTATTATTTCAATTAATATAATTAATGGTCATGTGGGGGATCTGCATTTAATTAGTAGCCCTCTATCCTTTACAGTAAGCATGGCAACTTCCTTTAAAACTTCTTGTTCCTTGAAAAAGAATTCTCCAGTTCAGGAAAGAGTTGGTGTTGTAGTGTAAAACATATTTAACTTTCTGCTTCACCTGCTATATCGGTTGGTTTCAATTCTATTATCTTCTACTTCCCTTCCAAATGGAGATCTGTATGTTATAGCACTAGGACTTACATACTGCTTTACAGTGCTTTACAGCCCTTTCTAAGCAGTTTACAGTCTCAGCATATTGTCCCGAACAATCTCATTTTACCGACCTTGGAAGGATGGAAAGCTGAGTCAACCTTGAGCCGGTCATGATTGAACTGCTGGCAGTAGGCAGAGTTAGCCTGCAATACTGCATTCTAACCACTGCTCATCATTGATGGATGGATGGAAGGAAGGAAGAGCAACAGCATTAGCGCTTAGACTTATATACCACTTCACAGTCCTTTACAGCCCTCTCTAAGCGGTTTACAAATTCAGCACCTTGCCCCCAACAATTTGGGTCCTCATTTTACCCATGTTGGAAGGATGGAAGGCCAAGTAAATCTTGAGCCTGATGAGATTTGAACTGTCAAATTGCAGTCATCTGGTAGTCAGCAGAAGTAGCCTCCAATACTGCACTCTAACTACTGTGCTACTGTGGCTCATAATGTTATTGTTTTGCATTGATGGATTCGCCCGAATTATGCAGGAAATATACCATGGTTGTGCTTTGTTTCAGGTATGAGGAGTGTGTTGGGCCTGGAGCAGCCCAAATCTACCTTCCAACAGAAGATCCTCCACCTTATTCCCTGATAGACCCTTGTCGGCAGAATGATGTGTCTATAAACAACCCCTTGGAAGAAAGGGGATCTACCAGTACAACAATGGGACAGGATTCAGAGGGTTTGGTTAGGATACAGGACCTGCATCAACCTTCCACGGCCTCGTCATCGCCCTTCCCGACCGAAACCGCTCCTCCGTACGAGGCTGTTGTGGGTGAACAGAACGTTCCTCTCCCACAAGCCTCACGGGCTCTGCTGAAAAGTTCAGCAGATTATCATCGGACACTTTTCGACAGAATAGCATAAACGAATTACACCCTGGGGGACATCGGAAGGAAATCTTCAAAGCGAAGACACATAGCAAAATGAAGTGGTCACTCACCCGCCGGTGGACTTGCAACAACATTTATCTCTTTTTTTCTACTTCGAACAGGGCTAGGCTGGGCTGCTTTTGGAGACACGGGTTTCGTTTTCTTTCTTTAGTAGAACATCTTTGGAAAGCTGGCCTGTCTAATGTCTTTTGCACTGTTTTCTCTCCCACTTTGAAAATGTAAAAACACCAAAATCGATGCTAAGGAAGGCGGACAACTCCGAAGCATTTTTAAAATGTCTCCTGCTCACCCAGAGGCATGGAACTGTCAATTCTTGTTGGATCTTCCCTGGCTTGGGAGGAAAAGTTGCCCAGAGTCAACTTCGGTGAGATGGGGCAACTCTATAAATTTGATTAATAAATAAAATGCATTTAAAAAAAAAAGTACAACCAATATTTAAAGCACTGCTTGTAAGTGGTAGAGATAAATAACAGAGGAAGGGATTCTTTGTAAGGAAAATGTGGGTTGGGTTTTACAAAATGCACTAGGCTAAAATGTGGGCTGGCTAGTTTGTACCTCAGTGTGGTCTGGGAAAATAGCCATCCTGAAGCCAACCGGTCTGCCTATCAACACGACCTACCTCGCAGGAGAGTTGGGAAGCTAATAAAATAGGGAGGACACCATCCATGTTGCCCTTGAGGTCTACGGAGTAAGTTCATAATGACGATGACGAAGATTCAATGGATGTACCAAAATACGATTCTCCCAACTAATAACTGACTACAGATTTCTTGAAGTATCTCAGATCGTTCGTTTATGGGAATCTGATTTTTTTTTCTCAGCTGTAACTCTGAATTCTAGAAAGTAGTTTCTGGTTTTGCAAGCAGGGAGCAAAGGAATTCTTTTGCTGGGACTCTAGGATTTTAAATCTGTGCTTAGGTTCTTGATGGGTTGCTGCTATATTCTTGTTTTACTGCGGCTGTTGTTTCTGTCCTAACAAAACACCTAACATCATTAGAGAATTTTAACCCAAGTATTTCATCTCCTTTTACAAAATCACATTCTTGGTCTTTGGGGAAAATGGAGGTTCTGCTTCTCCTCCTCCAGCTGTTCCTTTGATCTCTCCCATTCAGACTAAATTCAGTTCTTTAAGTCCTTGTATTTCATTAACCCTTCCAATCAGGTCATCTTTCATTTTGGTTCTTCCCCATTTGTTTTTGAAAGTGTAATCTCAAAAGAAAGTGGGCCTTTGACAAAGGACACTCATTTCTAGCTAGAACTCCCACGCACAAAGTCTCTATGATTTCCCCTTTGTGACCAGTTGAATTTTGATCACATGAGCATGGGGATGCTGAAATGGTCGTAAGTGTGAAAAATGGTCATAAACCCCTTCTTCCCGTTCCGTTGTAACTTTGAACAGTCTCTAAACAAACTTTTGTAAATCAAGGACTACCTGTATTGCGCTGAACTTGTCGAAGGTCTACAATGGCTTCTTATCGAGCACAAATTACCATCATCCTTATCTCTGATCCATCTAGGACAGTGGTTAACCTCTTTGGGTTCCTGTGCCAAAAATTGTGCATGCACCAACGCGCACACACTCGTGTGCCAGCACCCAGAATGCAATGTGTGCCCCCTCCCCACGCCCCCTGCGCATGTGTGCCCAATCCCCACCCCACCCCCTTGCCTTCACTGTGCCTCACAGCTGATTTTTCGGCTGGTTTGAAGCCTTTTTCGGCCTCCCAGAGGCTTGGGAAAAGCTTCTGCAAGGCTTTTCAGGACGAATTATAGGCCCGTTTCGTCACTTCCGGTATTACAGGAAGTGACGAAACGGGCCTATGATTTGTCCTGAAAAGCCTTGCAGAAGCTTTTTCTAAGCCTCTGGGAGGCCAAAAAAGGCCTCAAACCAACTGAAAAAAATCAGCTGTGACGCGCATGCATGTGCAGTGAGGTAAATTTGCCTGCGGCTCGCGTGCCAGCACAAATGGCTCTGCATGGGTGCATGCCATAGGTTCGTGCACTTGTGGCACGCATGCCATAGGTTCGCCATCACGGATCTAGGATCAAATATCCTTTTTTGGTGCCGAATAATAAAACTTTCCCTTAAGATTTTGATTTGGACCTTTCCCAACAACTGCATCCATTCCCCAGAGCCATAACCAGAAGTGCCCCCATCTTAATGTTGCCAAGTTGAGAAACACCATGGCGCTTCATCTCCCATGAATGCCCCATTCTTCCTCTGCAGGTAAACCTCGACTTACGACCACAATTAAGAGCAGAGTTTCTTTTGCTAAGCAAGATGGTTGGAAAATGAGCCGCGTCTGATTTTATGACTTTATTTCCCAGGGTGGTTAAGCAAATCACAGCAGTTACTAAGCAAATCCCATGGTCGTTAAGCAAATATGGTTTCCTCCAGTCGACTTTGCTTTTCAGAAGCTGGCTGGGAAGATCATGCATGACCCTGGAACATGACAGCTATCATATATACATGCCACTTGTCAAGCACTTGAATTTTGATCCTGTGACCGTAGGGAACACTGCAACATTTGTAAGTGTGAGGACCAGTCATAAGTTCTCTTGTAACTTTGAACAAGCGGTAAATGAATCGTTACAAGCTGAGGACTATCTGTACATTGTAGCAAGAATAGAATATGGCTTGTTTTGCTCTGCTTGTTTGTCTATTAGCAATCTTTAGAAATGTAGCAGCAAAAAGGTGGCATTTGCCTCTGAATATAGAAGGCTAAATATTGTAAAGCATGGGGTTCCGTTCACAATTAAATGCAAAAACAAAAACACCCATCTGTGATGATTACTTTATGCAGAAAGAGAATTGTGTTTCTTCGTGCTGCTAATTAAACGATGGATATTTGTATAATGATTCCAAAGAGAAGAGCAATAAAAAAAATACATGGAAAGCTTTTACAACATGTATTAAAACAGCCTTTTTGGAGTTAGAAATAGTCTAGCCATTTAAATGTATACGGGATAATTCATGCAACTAATCTTAAATACTGCATGATTCAAAAGCTTGCTCTATATTTATTAAATACGAATGGGTGTTCCAAAATATTCCAACATCATTAAGTCCTTGGTTTGCATCCAAGTTACATAATCTAAGATTATAAACAGCCTTCCTGACTCAAAGACATACTTTGGGGAGAAGAGAATCTGCGGGATGTTTCGATCTCATTCATTTGAATTAATTGTTTATCTGTAATGTTTTGATTTTTTAAAAAAACTTTCCATCACAACCAAGTTATGGAAACTGGTATCTTCAAAGGCCTCACGGGAGTAACTGTTTTTACTTACAATCAATGTTCACAACATTTATGAATCTAGGAAGGGTAGAGTAGATCAACTACTCTAAGCATTTATGTCCCAGAATGGCCTATAGTGACAACCACTCCCCAAATGTTGGGCTCGGGGTTGCATTTAAACTGGTTGACTTTACTATAATCAGCAGTGGTGGGATTCAAATTTTTTTACTATCGGTTATGTGGGTGTGGCTTGGTGGGCATGGCAGAGGAAGGATACTGTAAAATCTCCAGTCAGAGGTGGTATTTGCTGGTTCTCTGGACTACTCAAAATTTCTGCTACTGGTTCTCCAGAACTGGTCAGAACCTGCTGAACGCCACCTCTGCACCCCACTAACCTGCTTTCCAGCTCCGTTCTCCTGTGCAGGGCAACCAAAGAAGACCCAGCCAATCAGCTGGGACTCAATGAGAGGCGGAAAATAGATGGGGGCGGGACCAGTCAGGGGTGGTATTTGCTGGTTCTCTGAACAACTCAAAAATTCTGCTTCCGGTTCTCCAGAACTGGTCAGAACCTGCTGAAGACCACCTCTGCTATAATGATGCTATAATGATGATAAAGATTGAAAGAAAATGCTTGCTTTACCTGAACACCCTTCCGATGGCCCTATTCCAGATGTGGGCTTCAGGGCAAGCAGTCCCAGGTTTAGTCTCCTGCACCTGAGGTAAAACAAAACATTCATTCATTCATATCCCACCGTTTATGTTTACAAATAACTCAAGGTGGCAACGTATTCAACACACCTTCCTCCTCCTATTTTCCCCACAACAAACACCCCTGTGAGGTGGGCTGGGCTGAGAGAATGACTGACTGGCCCAAAGTCACCCAGCTGGCTTCCGTGGCTAAGACGGAACTTGAACTCACAGTCTGTAAAATACAGGCAATCCTCAACTTACGACCACAATGGAGCCCCAAATTTATGCGGCTAAGAGACATTTGTTAAGGGGGCTTCGCCCCATCTTGTGACTTTTCTTGCCACATTTGTTAAGTGAAACAATGCTCTCAGTGTACATAAAGAAAAAATAAATACATTCATCAAGAATCATAAGATACAACACTTAGTGATAGTCATAGGTTACTAATAAGCTATCAAATCTGTTTATGAACCGTTGTAAGATGAGGAGTACCTGTTGTTCAGCTAGTAAGATGGTTGTTAAGTGAATCTGGGTTTCCCCGTTGGCTTTGCTCATCCGAAGGTCGCCTGAGGGGATCGCATGACCCCGGGACGCCGCATAACCGCCAGAAATGTGAATCAGTTGTTAAGCATCTGAATGTAAATCACATGACCATGGGGATGCTGCAACGGTCCTAAGTGTGAAAAATGGTCCTAAGTCCATTTTCAGTGCAACAGTCACTAAATGAATAGGATAGGATAGGATAGGATAGGATAGAGATAGGATAGAGATAGAGATAGAGATAGAGATAGAGGATAGGATAGGATAGAGAATAGAATAGAATAGAATAGAATAGAATAGAATAGAATAGAATAGAATAGAATAGAATAGAATAGAATAGAATAGAATAGGAGACAGAATGGAATGGAATGTGGAAGAGAGAATAGAATAGAATATAGAATAGAATATAGAATGGAAAATAGAATAGAATAGAGAATAGAATTAGAATTAGAATAGAATATAATGTAGAGGAGAGAATAGAATAGAATATAGAATAGAATATAGAATGGAAAATAGAATAGAATAGAATTAGAATAGGATAGAATGTGGATGAGAGAATAGAATAGAATAGGAATAGGAATAGGAGACAGAATGGAATGGAATGGAATGTAGAAGAGAGAATAGAATAGAATAGAGAATAGAATAGAATATAGAATGGAAAATACCCTGTTTCTCCAACAATACGGCCTCCTCCAATAGGAAGTCCCAGCATGTTTTATAGGCATGAAATGAAATTAAGCCCCTCCCCCCAAATTAAGGCCTATATTAAAACATGCGAAATGGGGGGGAATGGTGAGGGGGATTTGCCATTAGGAAGTACTTTTGTTGCACACCTGGATATGGTGCTGCCTGCGTTGACCCCGATATGAAGTGCCCCACCAATGCTGAGGTCAACATCCAAGCCGTCGCCACCCGCCCGAAGATGCAAGAGGGGGGAATTAAGTCACCCCCGAAAAGACGTCCTAGCCATTTTTTCGGGGCTCAAAAAAAAATAAGACCCGGCCTTATTATATGAGAAACACGGTAGAATAGAATAGAATAGGAATAGGAATAGGAGACAGAATGGAATGGAATGGAATGTAGAATAGAATAGAATTCTTTATTGGCCAAGTGTGATTGGACACACAAGGAATTTGTTTTTGGTGCATAAGCTCTTAGTGGACATAAAGAAAAAATAAATACATTCATCAAGTATCATAAGATATAACACTTAGGGATAGTCATATGTTACTAATAGGCAATCAAATACGTTTATGGACCGTTGTAAAACGAGGACTACCTGTAATAGCAACCATCACCCATGGTGGCACGTCTAGAACAACTCCAGGCGCTCGAGCGAGCCAGCTAATCCCTTCCAACCTGCCTTTGAACTCGGGTACCCAAAGCAGACCTCCCCCCCTCCCTTCTCCCTTCGGTTTCACTTTCGCTTTGCGGCCCCGCCCACTTCCCCGAACTGAAAAACGACGCCCGCTGGCCTTGAGCGACAGCAGGGGCAGCCACTGGCACGGCGGGGCAAGGCCACGGCCAGGCCAATGGCAGCCCCTCGAGAGCCTATCTCCCCCTCCCCTCCGCCCCCCCAGCCAGCCCAAGGAAGCCACGCGTGGGTGCCTCTCCGCTTCCGCGTCGTCCTGCTTGGTCCTCGAGGCGCGGCGCGAGTTGGAAGCCGAGTCGAGGGGGGTCAGTCAGGATGAGGAGCTGCCCGTCTCCGGCCGCCCCGCGCGAAGAAGTTTTGCAAGGCTACCGGGCTTTCTACCGCGCCGGCTGGGCGGAAGGCAAACTTCGCCTTTGCAACGAAGCGCCGCTCAAGAGCCGCGCCGGGCTCCTGCGGGTGGCCCAGGCGGGCAAGTGGGACGTGGGCGCCATCGCCCAGAGCTGCGGGAAGATGCGCGGCCGGCGGAGGGGGGAGAAGGAGGAGGAAGAGGAGGCCGGCAGCGCCGCCGCCGCCGCCCTCTTCCGCAAACTGAGCCAGGCCTTCGGCTACCTGGAGCTGCTGTGCATCAACCTTTGCCTCTCGCCCTGGAGGAAGGAGATCAAGTCGCTGAAGGTAGCCGGGGGGCGAGGGAAGGAAGGATAGGAAGGAGGCAGGGTAGGAAAGGGAGGGGAAGGAAGATCTCCGGTGGGTTTGGGCGGCGGCGCGGCGTGGGGGGGCGGGGTGGAGGGGGGGGGGGGGGGGGGGGCTTTGCTCCAGGAACCCGAGTTGGAGAAAGTTTAAAAACAAAAAAAATCTTTCCTCCGATTTTGCATCCTAAGTAAGATAGGCGGGGTTGAGAGAAGTAAAGAACAGATAATCGGAGTTGGAAGGGGCCTTGGAGGGCATCTAGTCCCAACCTCTTGTGTTGCTGCAATGTCTACTAGGGAAAAAAACATTGGTTACAGAATTATAGCTGTCAATTGGTGACCATTTTTGGAGATAGAACAAACTTTGGAAAATGATATTTACACACATACTTACTGGCTCTCCCACTCTCATAAACCAACTAACTGTTTGAGAACATGTATTTTCTTAACAGATGTTTTTTATCCACTATGAATGTATTATAATGTGTCAGTATTTTTTTTAATGTATATTGTAAATAGTGATGTCTATTGCTTGTCTAAGACCGTAATGAAGTTATATTCTATTCTAAAAAAATGTAGTCCAACCCCCTGCCCAAGTAGGAAACTCTACACCGTTTCTGATAGAGAGGCTCCGAAGCTCTTCCGTGGTGAATCGGCAGGTTCTCCCTAAACTTAGTTCAAGCCTTTAGCCAAGCATTCAAGCTGCTTTAATTTTTAATATTGGGTTAGGGCAGAGGTCTCCAAACTTGGCAAACTTTTAAGACTTGTGGACTTCAACTCCCAGAATTCCCCTGCACCAAATCATCAGAATTCTGGGAGTTGAAGTCCACAAGTCTTAAAAGTTGTCAAGTTTGGGGACCCCTGGATTAGGGTTAAGGTTTTACCGCTCCTGTCTTTACTGGCAATGACCCTAGAGCAGGGGTGGGCAACTATGGCCCTTTTATGAATTATGGACTTCAACTCCCAGAATTCCTAAGCAAGCCATGCTAGCTCAGGAATTTTGGGAGTTGAAGTCCACAAGTCATAAAGGGGCCATAGTTGCCCACCTCTGCTCTAGAGCAAGGGTTCCCAACTCCCGGGTCGGTCCAGAAACCAGGCCGCGCAAACAAGTGAAGACTCATACACGGGATGCAGACAGCCAGTGGTGTATTAACTAATAATGCAGACTAAGCATGTGCTTAGGGCACCAGGGCTCAAAGGGAGAAACCACAAAGTTGAGAATATGGCTTCGTTTGCACATTATGTACAAAGGAGGAAGGGCACCAAGATTTGTCAGTGCTTAGGGCACCAGCGAGCCTTAATCCACCACTGCAGACAGCAGACTAAACGACACCCGCTCCAATCCGTGGGAAAAAAAACTCCGTCCACAAAACCGGTTCCTGGTACCCAAAAGGTTGGGGGGCTTCTGCCCTAGATAGTGTACTTAAAGCACAGTTAAAAATGATATTAGTAAAATTACTCACCAACATGAAATCCGTGCAGGATCACTGGGCATCCATCCAGTTCTTGTAGCTGTTATGATCTTTGAGATATGAAGAAGGTTTTGGAAGTATTTGCAAAAGATGCATCAATTTGTAGCCCACCCAGATATTATTTATAACAGACTTTGGGGGGGGCCTTCTAATGTTTTCAGTGCCTGCTGTCCTCATCTCCAGCCACCCTAGGCCATGTCGAGGTGGGAGTGTGGCAGATCTAGAGGGCACCAGGTTGATCTGATTTCTCAAACCATTTGGAGTTTAATTTTTCCTAGGTTAGATCCATCCTTTATCTTGGAAGTTCAAGGCGATATACTTTTTTGCTTCTAGTTCTAGATCCAGCTTTCAATTCTGCCTTTCGGTTTATAGCATCCAAAGTGGTCAACTTCACCTTCCAATTTAATTCACCCAATAGCAACCCTGTGAGGGAAGCTGGGTGGAGAATGTTCCCACCCAATTTGGCCCACTTGGTGGCCTCCAGATTTGTTAAGATTGGAACACCAATAACCTCATATAAGTGCTCAGAAAGCCAGAATATTGCAGCCCCAGTTCCACTAAACCTATTGAGATAATGTGCCATATCTTTTTGTGATACTAGGATCTGCTAATCATTTTGCCAGATTCCAGACCAATGATAGATGTCCTAAAGGCCAGATTTGGCTAACTACATCTCAGGTAAAGAGATAACAGAGGAATATCCAATGGAACAGCTTGCCCTCGGAAGTTGTGGGAGCGCCATCAGTTGAGACTTTCAAGAAGAGATTGGACCGCCATTTGTCAGAAATGGTGTAGGGTTCCCCGCTTGGGTGGGGGGTTGGACTAAATGACCTACAAGGTCCCTTCCAACTCTGGTTATCTGTTATCTGAGGTTCAGCAGGAAGGAAGATGTCTAAAGTCAGTATGACTCTTTGGAGCCAGTCAGCCTGAAGTCTGAATTCTTCTGCTTATTGTATCCACAAGGAAGATCTTCAACCCATAATTTCACAGAATAGTAATATCTCCATGCTGATGTCTCCTGATGTTATTTTCTCATTCTCTTTAGACTTTTACAGGAAACTTTGTCTACTATGTAAAGTCCATCCTTCCAGAAAGTGTAGTACAACAGCTGCTGTCTGAAATCGGCTATGTTGCCACCTCTGCTACCGAATATTCCCTGGTCAGAAAACCAAATGAGGTAGAAGCGGAGAACACCGCATTTGAAATATTCCTTGCAAGAATTGAGTGCGAAAACCTTCTTGAAGTTGCAAGGGACATGAAAGACAGTGACCTTGCTGACATCCTACAGATGAGGGTCCAGAAACATGGTCTTCCTGGTGTTGGCCTAACTAAAAAGCAGGAACACTCACAAACAAAAGAGGATGTCACCGTTGGAGAGAGCAACGGGACACCAAACCCTGCAATGGCCTACTTGAGTCACAGCCAGCATGCCTTCAAGGAGCAGGGCAAAACTGAGCAGGGCGAGAGCTTTGGGCTCCGATGCATCACAACAGAGGCTCAGCCAGCTGCTTCCAAACAGACTACTGAGCTGAACAGGAACCAAAACCAAACAGAGGAAATCTCAACACACTCTTGTATCCGAAGCACGGACAGCGAGGACTTTCTGATTAAATACAGTGACATTGTCATTGGACAACAGCCTCTCCACTTCTCTGCCTCTTCTTCTTCTTCGAGAGCAACCAAAGAGGAGGCCTGGCTGACAGAAACAAGGCTGGGCCTACCAGCCTGCGGGGCAGAAACCCTCCCTCATCTGCCTTCTGATGAAAGTGGCCCTCAAGCTTTAGCCATCCTCAACAATTCTACTGTGGTAAGCAAAGCTCCTTGTGATTACCAGACTCGGCAAACGAGGATTGGATCCAAAACCTGCGATGCGATGAAGCGCCTGAGCATTCCTGGGTCAGATACAATCGACGAACCCAAAGAACTGAAAGGCAGCATGGCCCAGGAGTCACCTAACCCCTCCAATAACTTGGCCTTGATGGTAGAGAAGCCGAAGCCCAAGGAAGACTACGTAGAGAAGTTAATGTATCCTGTGGAAGAAACGGCATGGCCAGAGTCTGCAAGGAGCCACAGAGTCCCTGGAGAACATTATCACCCTGAGATGAATTCGGCAAACTTCTCCTGCAGAGACAATTACAACGTGGACCTCTATTCATCAGATCACTTCAGTCATATCACTGGGTGCAGATATCCCACGCCTGGTCCAAGTTATAGCAGACATCTGGGTGTCCCAATTTTAACCTGCCCCGTTCCCACCGAGGATCAGTACTGTAGTGACAGCCCAGCAGGCATTCGACACAGGCGAGAAAGATATCCCCTCCATTCCTCTTTGGCAGACTTCAATACTCGTGGGGTGCATATGGACGAACCTAGCCTAGAAGGTTATGTTGTTATTAAGAAAGATAATTAAAACGTACGTCCCTAAGAGCTCCAGTTAACAGCAAGTCAGGATTTACTGAATTGTAGCGAGACTGGTCATACGGTTGGGGTGTCTACATGCTTCTCATCAAGTGGTAAAATCTTGCAAGACAGGATCATGGAATGTTTCCATAGGACTTCAAATGTGCTCAGCTAAAACCTCATGAAAGGTTTAGCATCATCTTACTGTGAGAACATTGAAAACATTCCTTTATTTCCAATAAAGGAATTCTCATCCACGTATGCAGCTCCAGTGTCTCATCTGGATTTCCTTCTCTCTGCTCATGGCATAAAAGTTGGCGGTCATGCTAGAAAAGGGTACATACTTTGGGAGAACGCTGGTGCTCCTTTCTTCCTCTTTTATGCAGTCCCTAAGTGCCTGAAAGTTGTCCAGGATAAAGAACTAGGACCAAGAAACTACAAATCGGGAATGTTTGGTGAGGGTTTTCTGTTCTTCCCACCCAGTTCAGATTTAATCGAAGAAATGTAAATTGTGAACTTTAAAATATACACGTGGTCCTCATTTAGCAATGAGAATTGGAACCAGCAACTTGGTTGTTAAGCAGTCATCCAAAGAAACCACCATTCCTTATCTTACTTCAACTTTCCTTTGCTTTACAGGCCTGTGAAGTTCATAAATGCGTTACTTTTTCAGTTCTGTGAATGGCCACTGCCTTAAGCAGTCGCTAAACAAGAACTACCTCTATAAGAAAAAGTTATTGAATTTTCAGGATCCTGAATGCTCTCAGTTCATAACAGGCTGTTTCATAAATACCTGAATCATGTTATTTAAATGTTAAATACGATTGCTTTTAATGTAGGAAATATATCCAGAAACACAGAATATCAAACGGTTTGCATAGCTACAAGTTAGCTCTTGATTGGTTCAATTGTTACTTCTTTCTGTTAAGATTTTATGCAATATAGCAGGTTGGTCAGACAAGATGAAAGGTAATGCAAGCTGCTTCTATACTGAAATATAACCAAAAATAATTGGATAGAAAACAATTCAAAAATGTTGGTATGACTTCTTTTTTTAAAGGAAAAGCGTATTGGACTCAACAGGAAATTTGAGAGGGGAAAGCACTTAAATTCTAGTATGGTCTTGTAAAAACAAAAAAGATGAAAATGAGAGAAAAAATAATTCATGCATGGAAGGTATGTTGTTATTAAATGGAAAAGCCATTTGGATCCCAAATACGTTGGGTGATACTAAACTTCTTGTATCTCCTTTTGATTTTCTTCTCTCATTTGTTTGGCTTCTTCAAGGCTTTGTGGATAAACATTTTGTCCCATCCACGATCAGACAACTAGAATTCAAGTCTGTCCAAAAATGTTGTCTTGTAATAATGAACCAGCAGCCAACATACTATGCATACCGAAGTACCAATATAATCAATGGCCTGGAAATATTTTCAACATTTAGTGAAGGAATGCATGTGGAAAACGTTCAATCATTTCTCACCATAGACACAGGTAATCCTCAAACTACCACAATTTATGTTGCTAAGTGAGACATTACGTTGAATGAATTTTGCCCTGATTTACGATTTTTCTTGCCACTGCCATTAAGTGAATTACCGCAATCATTAAGTCAGTCACACCGTTGTTAAGCAAATCTGGCTTTCCCAATTGACTTTGCTTGTCGGAAGGTTGTAAAAGTTTTATCACATGACCCTGGGACGCTGCAACCGTCATAACTATGAACCAGTTGCCAAGCGCCTGAATTTTGATCACATGACCATGGGGATGCTGCAACGGTCATTACATGTGAAAAATGGTCATAAGTCACTTTTTTCACTGCCACTGTAACTTTGGTCACTAAACAAACTGTTATAAGTTGAGGATTATTTGTATTTTGATTCCCTGTTCTTGGTTATTGTTTCTAATCATGTTACTCCAGTTCATTTTGTGCTTCTCTGCCAGTATGGCTGAGCTGAAGAATTTCTTGGACTTTCAGTTCTCATCCGCTTCAGCTAATGACCAATATTCAAGGGAACATGAACCTTGGACGCTTGCAATTGAAGGGGTGCCAGTTTCTTATCTCTGCAAGAAGGACACTTGTAAAAAATACAATTCTGAAGCTGAACAATTAGCCATTCACTCATTGCCACAAGGAACTGAAGTTCAAGGCTCAGAACATGGGCTGCTTATAAGTTAATGCTTAAAAAGCCAAGGTAGAATGCCTGTGAAATATTTTCTGCTTGAAAATTACTCAAATATATATTCTTGATTTGTCTTCTTTTTATAACATTACCCTACCATCACATTCCAAATTGTAAGCTATCTTTTCTTGGGGCTGCTTAAATAAAGCAAGCCAATTAGGTGGTGTGGTTTAAGGCACCAGGCTAGAAACCTGGAGACTGGGAGTTCTAGTCCAGTCCTAAGCATGGCTGTGGAACAAACTGGGGAAGGACACAGTCCAGCTGGGCAGAGCAAGGGACAGGGAATTCAGAGGAAGATCCAGGCCCACCCCCTCTTCATCCTAAGGCACGCAGGGAGGAACGGAGAAGGGAGCAACGTGAGTTGCGTGGCTTATGGGGGAGGAAAGGGCCCTGATTCCCTTCATTAGCTGCAGCTGAGAACACAGTGTTTAAAAAGGGAAGCTGCGCGCAGTAACTTGTTGGAAGCAAATTGTGAGTTATCTGTTATTGTCGAGGCTTGTCTGGGTTCCTGGTGTCTTCCCAACTGTGTGTTTTCTTGGCCTTTCAAGTCTGGAATTCCTTATCCTGCCCTGTCCAGTTAATTGCTGCAGCGTGGTTTGTGTGGATTTTTATTTACAGTTTATATGTACTTTGTGTTTGGACTGAATTTCCTCCACTTAAAGATTGTTCTTGGGAGAGTTTTTTCTCCAACCGAAGGTAACTGGACATTGGAGGTATTAAAGGGACTTTTCTTACTTATGTGACTGTGTTGCCTTTGTGCCATGCCTCGGGCCATCACACAAAGCCAGCTGGGTGACCTTGGGCCAGTCACTCTATCTTAACCCCAGAAAGGAAGCAATGGGAAACTATTTCTGAAAAATTTTGCCAAGAAAACTGCAGGGGCTAATCCAGGATTCAAAATTGACTTTAGGGCATGTACAAAGATGTATACACACACACACACACACACACACACACACACAAAACCTCTTTACATAAAGGTTGGAAGAACACCCTGTAGGAGTAGCATAATTTTCTGTTTCAGTGTTTGGACTGAACATACAAGATCCAAGTCTTTCTGTAGGCTTGCGTGAAGAGTCCACTGCCAAGTGCACTTTTTTCCTATCCAGCCCTAAAAGAGAACTATACAAAATCATTTGTGGATCTTAAAAGTTATTTCAAAATTGCTTTCACTTTCCCAACCAGACTGACGCCAACTATGGAGACTGAAAAGATTTTATGATCACCGTATTTTAATATTAGATGGGAAAACAGATAAAATTGCCGTGTTCCCAATGACATAGATCGATGACAATAACTGCTAATATATTAAAGATTTTTAATGTATGCTTGTATTTTTCTTTACACTGCTATGCAGCTCAATTCGAGAATAACTGAATCACAGTTAATTTTCTACCAATAACATTACAATTTAAATAAAAGACATAATCAACTCATCTTAGAATTCCGTGTCTCAGGGAAAATAAGCTAAATAACAGGTTGACAGTTCTCTTTATTTGGACTAAGAATGAGACAATAATGCATTTTGATGCATTTGTAATGAAGAAGGAAAGGAATGATAAATACTTTGGAATCGCATCTGCTGTTCTTACCCCAGTAAACTGTAACCAAGAGAACCTAAAACATGTTGAATAGAAACTTCTACACTCATTTAATATAACTGTACACTTCTTTGTAAGAAGTTGAGCAAAATTACCTTCTCTTCAGTGTAAACATGTACCTTCCAACCCATGTTCTATTTCAGACCCAAAACTATCCATCTCAAGGACATTTTAGTTCCAAACTAGGTTAACAGTAAAAGATAGATAAAAAACTCATGCCTGTACTCCGGAGAGAGGACGGAGCTGACGTCGCGACGATACAGCTTGCAATCTCGGGGCTCTGAGACTGCAGCCGATATCTTCGCCCCTGGTCGGTCCAAACGGACCTAAATCATCCCGTAGAGACGGTGATAGTGAAGGGCACATCCTGTGGATCCCAGGGACACTGCAAAGTCCCTGGTCGATTCAGGAGAAGCCCTTTTTGCCGGCGGCGGAGAGGCAGCCATCAAAGCTGCTGAAGTTGGGACAGCTCCGGAACGGAAGAGACTGAAAGAGAAAGTGTGTCGGCTCGGTGAGAACTTTTTTTTTACCAATATTCTGAGATTTGAAAGGACACCCTAAGAATAAGAAGAAATCTGTAAGAGTTTTGACAAAACTGAATAAGCGGCGGTTTTTAAAGGGAAACGTCAAAGTGAGGCTTGGCTTTTTACTTTTTTACTTTCTTTATTACTGGATCTATCGCGACTTAGCATTTGTTAACTGGACTGGTTTTTCTGTTATATATATTTTTTTCCTTCTCCTTTTTGATTTTTCAACTTTTTAGATTAGAGGCTCCCCTTAGTTATTTTTCTTTTATATATATATATATATACTCTCTCCTTTTTTTAAACTTCTATTACGTTTTGCCTGGGAAAGGAGGGGGAAAGTGAGAACAAAGAAACTTTGTAACACTGCCAACTAGAGGCTTGAAAATATTTTAGTTGAAGTTGAGAGAACTGTGAAAGACTCCCTCTCAAGGACATTGCAACTTGATAAGATAGAGGGAAGAGCACGGGAAAGTGTTATTACAGGTGTTCTGGATTTCTATCAACAATTGAAGTTTGGCTTTGAAGCTTGTGGAGAAGAAAATTATAACAAGAGCCTAGGATAATTAAACAAAGTGCAGTGTGTTCTTTTTAATTTTTAGTTGCGCTACCTCTCCTAACCAGCTCTATTCTACTCCTTTCTGTTTTTAAAAAAAATCTTTATTTTTGTAATATTCCTACTTTTGCTTTTTATTTTAAAGGGAAAGCCTCGAAATTTTTCCTCTTTCTTTTTTCATTGGGATTTTTGCTTTTTCCATCCATACTTTTGGTTTATATTTACGTTTTTTTTTTTTTTTTTTTGAGATTTCTTAATTGGATTAACGTGTGAGATTTGATGAAATGGGAAAACCTACAATTGTCATTAATAGGGAGAAATAGGGAAATATTGGATGAAAAGGGTGAACTTAAATCGATGCCAAATTTAGAGGAACAAGGTATAAAGATGAATTGGTTTTCATATGCGCAAATACATTCACGGTATGATGAAGATTTTAAAACAGAAGGATTCTATGATAAATTGACTGATTTAGATAAGATTCTGACAGGTACTGATGAAAAGGTGATTAAAAAATTATATGGTTATTTATTGGAAATTAAACTAGAGGAAGAACAAGTTAAAGAAACTATGATTGCTTGGGGAAAGAATTTTGGATATGGGATTGATTTAGAGAAATGGCAAAAATTGTGGTCTCAAAACTATAAAATGACAATGTCAACAGCATATAAAGAAAATTTGTTTAAGATGTTTTACAGGTGGCACTTTTCCCCGACAAGAATAGCAAGAATGTTCAAGAATAAATCTGAAAAATGCTGGAAATGTCATCAGATACCTGGCTCATATTACCATATGTGGTGGACTTGTGCGGACGCTAGAAAATATTGGACTAAAATTCGCATGTGGTTGGAAAAAATGACAAAGAAACACATAGACTTGAAACCAGAGATCTTTTTATTGGGAATTTTACCTGATACATATAGTAAAGATCTGAAATACCTGATTGTAAATGTATTAACAGCGGCTAGGATTGTATTTGCTAAAAACTGGAAAAATGAGAAAATACCATTGCAGGAAGAAATCATTAAGAAAATATTGGAATGTGCTGAAATGAGTAGATTGACATTTGAAATTAGAGAACAAGAGGATAAACAATTTTATAAAATTTGGGACCTTTTCTATCAATTGTTAGATAATAAAACACAATAATAGAATATCTAGAATTTTAGAAAATAATGAATATATAAAGATATATTTCTTTTTTTTTATATCATATCTATAAAATGTTTTTAGGATAGATTTGGTATGATTATATGATTTGTTATAAAATAAATAAGTAAATTATAGTTATCTCGCAAAGTATGAATGAATAAAATTATAGTCAAATGATTGTTTAATAGTGATACTAAGGTATTTAATTTCTGATTGATAATATGAGTTATTATGTAATGTAACTGTAATTGAGACTATGAAATGGATGCACAAAAAACTGGTAAACCAACCGACACACTGTTTGTATATTTATGAAAGAAAGCTGGGTGTTTTTATGTTTTGTTTGTCTTTAAAAACCAATAAAATTGTTTTCAAAAAAAAAAAAAAGTTATGCCTATACTCCATCATTTATCTATATACACCCACGTAAGTCACTGATCCAGCATGACTGTTCCTTGAACCAGACTCTTAATATCAAATACAAAATTCTCTAAAAGAAATAATCCCAAATGAATTGACATGTAGGGAATAGTAAAATAATAAATAAAAGGCTGAAAGTTGGACCATATTCACTCATCCTGCGCAGATGTGGCCATGGACGTGATTTAGGCATGGCGGTTACCTTAATTTCTGTGCTCACCTGGCTTGAGCTGCCTAAAAGCTCAGTGTGAAGACACAGGGATTTATCTGCCCCTGAAAGACAGGAAGAATGAGGAGGCAAAAGGATCTGCATCCTGGTTGAGTTGCCTTGCCTGGTGCTCAAGAGTGGGTTGGGGCCATCCAAAGTGAGCCCCTGGAATGAATTCTGACAACCACTCAGTTTTGGGTGTCAACACAATACCGTCTATCTCCGTTTGTTGCTTTACCTGTTTCATATAATCTATACAATTTATGTATTCATGGATGCATCCATATTGCAGTGATCCCCAAGCCCCGGGGATGGGGGCAGCGTCACGGACAGGTATCGTGCTGCATCCCATATGTGCTAGTCATTTCCGGCTCTACGGGGCGGTACTCATCTCCGTTACAAAGCCGAAGAGCCAGCATTGTCCAAAGACGCCTCCGTGGTCATGTGGCCAGCATGACTAAACACAGAAGGCACACGGAACGCTGTTTCCTTCCCACCAAAGGGGTCCCTATTTCTCCACTTGCATTTTTACATGCTTTCGAACTGCTAGGTTGGCAGAAGCTGGGACAAGGAACGGGAACTCACTCCGTGACGCGGCGCTAGGGATTTGAACTGCCGAACTGCCAACCTTTCTGATCGACAAGCTCAGCATTTTAGTCAACTCGACCCTTATACAAATAGAGGATGAGCACACAAAGCTCCCTTTGTGCATGTGCGGGATTAGGTTGTGTGCACAAAACTATTCCTCCCCCTCCCCCGCCTTTCCCCCCCCTCCCAGCAACAGTGATGCTGCCAGCCAAACACCAAGACTGCCAGTTTGCAGAGCCAGAAAGGTTGGAGGCCGCTGCTATATTGCATAAACTTTTTAGTATACTTGAAAGAATTAACACAAATGCAATAAGTAGTACGTACTAGTAATAAGCCTGGCCGGTTGTTTTCTTTGTTCCCTTCTATTAAAATTCTTTTTTTTTGGAAAAAAAAATTTTTTAATGTCATTGCATTTGAGCTGCACATTTGCTAACTCCAAACGGCACCGTCTCTTGGCAGCAGGAGGAATCAAGTCATAGCTACACATTCCATTCAGATTCTCTTCATATTTCTCCATCATTTGTGAGTCTCTTGGGCCTCACTAGCAGCATTAAGTGCAAGCGGCTGAAAAAAGTAGATGGGCTGTTGCGAAAGAGAAGAATTAGCCACACCTTATGTGTACGTATTTACTCTTCGAGGGTACAGTCCAAAAACAGAGAAGAGGCTGAGGATGAGGAGGGGAAGCAGAGAAGAGTGCAGAATCCATTCTGGCTCTGGGTGGGTCATCCTGCATGGAAATAGTGGACCTTCTCAGCGATTCTGTAATTCCAAACACTTGGACTGCTCAGAATGCCTTCAAGTTTCCAAGCCCACCAATTCAAGCTGCTTGCAGAAACCAAGCCTACAGCTCGCTCTCTCAGTTAAGCTAAACCCTCTGTGTACTTGTTGTTTTGGGCAACAGAGTCTTGTCCATAGTAAGACAGCTGATTCTACCGACGGCGTTGGGTGTTGTCCAGCATTAAGATTTGGTCCTGATTCTCTTCATATTTCTCCATCATTTCCTGCAGGTCATCATCAGCCTGCAGCACCTTAAAAAGATTCAAATGATCAAAGGCTGAAGCACATCTCTGGGGGGAAAAAAGTCTACAGATGAGACAGTATCCAAGTCTGGAATTGGGATTGTACATTAAGCAAGCCAACATTCATGAGCTTGAGCTAATTTAGGATTTGTTCTTGGCTTACAAACCCCAGCTTGCTTGGCATAAGTATTCTTGGCCTTCTTTGTTTCGATGGCATGTAAATCTATTCTTTTTGTTTAAGCAGCCAAGCTACCTGCACTAAGAGACAACTCATTCACATTGCTGTTTATTCAATTTGGCTTAAAAATGTTGCTTAGTTGTAGTATAACATGCAAATGCAAGCAATTATAGTTTGTATAATAAGTTGTGCTTTATAAAGCCCAGGCAACATATATGATCTGCTCAATTAAATAGTATTTTTGTAGTCTTTTTATATAGGCATAAATATTGCAACACGTATGTACGTGTGCACATGTCAATTTTATACTTCTGTCGAATTCCAGACTATCATATTTTATATCAGTATCTGGTGTGGCAACCAACAAGAATAGATCTTCAAGCTTTATAAAGGTCCTGGAAATGATTTAAGTGCGTTTTTTAAATCTGAGGCGATCAGGCCCCTAATGAAGTTCAAAGAGGGGAGATAACTAAAAAGAGTAGGAGCTACATAAAAAAGGGTTCAAATCTTGAGGTGACTGCTTGCAGAAATAAATCTGGCACAAACAAACATGAATTGCAATCAAATAATGCATATAATGGGATGTTTCTCACCAGAAGTTTGAACTGTGAACATTCCTGAAGGCCAGTCAGCAGAGGGAAGAATAAGGGTAAACTGGGAAAGGCCAAGGAGTGCACAGACTAGTTTGAGACTCAACTAAAGGGCAGAGAAGTAAGTCAGATCTCAAACCATTAACAAGAAGCCAAAACAGGCACACTAAGCGGGGGGGAAAAGTAACAGTCAAATTCCCCAGCTGGTCATTATTTCCTAGAAGGAATCAAGTTGCCGAAATCCAAGCTGATGTCTGTCACAATGCCATTATCTTCCTCTCTTGTGGGAAGTTTATAGTAAGTCGAAGAAGCCTTTGAAGATAGTTAATATTGAGACATGACAGGATGGGGAGGCAAGACATTTTTTATAAAGATAATAAAAAGTTATGCACTAATTCAGATACCGTTTTCCTGTTTTGGCCAAACTATCTTTCAAAACAAATCGTGAATATATACTTACAAGCACTGGAGAAGGGACTTTGAACAATGTTTGGTTAATGAGCCAGTCTTCATAAAGCTGATGAATAGCTTCTAAATATTCCTGTTCAGAAGAGGCAGAAAAAGGAGGATGATCAGGTTTATTTTTTTAACAGAAGCAAAAACACTTTGATGAATCATGATTTATGTTCTGTAAAAGCGAAAGATAGGATAGTTGCAATTATAGCCAAATATCTGATGTAAGTTGCAACAGGACAACCAGATTTGGAAGGGGGGCTGGGTCTCTTTTATCTAGGACAGCCGTTTTCCCATCTTGGTTCCTGAACATTCAACACTTTCCCAGTCAAAGGTACAATTGTGAGCTTTTAATTGAGCAGGAAATTCAAAACAACAGCCTAAAGTAGTGTTTCTCAACCTCAGCAACTTTTAAGATGTCTGGACTTCAATTCCCAGAATTCCCTAGCCAGCATGGAGACGGCATTTCCTGTTCTGTAACATGCTCTCCACAGGCAGGGAACATCAGCCCCAAACTCCAGGGACAACTTTAGCACAGAAATCTACTTTCTGCTAATCACAGAATGCATCTTTTTCAGCAATATTACAAATTAACAGAGTTGGAAGGGACCTTGTAGGTCATCTAGTCCAACTCCCTGCCCAAACAGGAAACCCTACACCATCCCTGACAAATGGCAGTCCAATCTCTTCTTAAAAGCCTCCAGTGATGGAGATCCCACAACTTCTGAAGGCAAGCTGTTCCATTGGTTGATTGTTCTCAGTCTCATAAAATTTCTCCTTATTTCCAGGTTGAATCTCTTCTTGTTCAGTTTCCATCCATTGTTCCTTCTCTGGTCTTCAGGTGCCTTGGAAAATAGCTTGAACCCTTCCTCTCTGTGGAAGCCCCTCAAATATTGGAAGACTGCTATCCTGTCTCCCCTGGTCCTTCTCTTTACTTAGACTAGTCAAGCCCAGTTCCTGCAACCGTTCTTCATATGTTTTAGTCTCCAGTCCCCTAATCATCCTGGTTGCTCTTCTCTGTACTTTTTCTAGTATCACATCTTTTTTATAGTGTGGTGACCAAAACTGGGTGCAGTAGTCTAGGTGTAGTCTTACTAAGGCTTTATAGAGTGGTATTAGTACCTCACTTGATCTTGAGTATCTGTACCATGACCTCAAAATGATGGTTATGTGGATCAGGGTACCACTACACAATGCCACACTTCCACCATGATGTCTGATGGAAGAACTAAAGTTGTGTTATCTCTGTGGTGACATCATGTATACATTGACATTTGACCTCCTGCCTTAGTGGATGCTTATGACTGTCTTATTAGGGGACGGAAGACTTTCGATTTTTCTTCCAACCAACCAAGTTGTAATGTTCCAAAAAAATTGAAAGATCTTCTCCTTACCATGGGAATCACCTTTTCCTCTTCCCTGCACCTCCGCTTGAGTCTCTGATAACACATGCCAGGAGAGGTCTGTAGGTAAACTGCATTAAACCATTATAGTTTTAAACTGTTAAGGATGCAAGGCTGTTTCAATCATTTCAGAAGTATTTTAATTCAGAAGCAGAGCTGATTAAGCCCTGAAAGAATTCCAGAATGGTTACAGCAATTGTAACAATGACTACCCATTTGAAACTGAGCATTTTCCATTCAAAATGCTTGGCATACTAAAATAAACTAGATATTCTTGAAGAGACATCCTAGTTTTTGAAAGCTCAGATCTCACTGGCAACAGCCAAGATTTTTAACTATGGTTATAAAACGATGGATTTTAGTAACAATGAATTGGGGTTTTAAGTCTATGATGTAATGTGTATTAAATATTTTACTTGTTAAACTGTTTTATTCAATACCAAATTTAGATTAGATTATATTTGTAGCTTGTATGGGGGCCTTTTGGCCATAAATAAAATTGAAGCTCAGAGAAAAATTGTTCCTATTTGCTTCTCAGGGAAAAAAAAATAATCCCAAAATGATAAATATTTCAAGTTTAAAAAGTACAATACGTTCATGAAATCACCTATTAAGTATGCAATGCAGAAGCTACTGAAGCCTTTTAATGCCAACGTAGACTAAATATGAACATATTCTTGATTTTAAACTATCAAAAGAAAAATAATAATTTAGAGCTAAAAAGTTAGTCTACCCTACACACACAAAGGGACAAACACCAAAGTTTCTTACTTTTTAAAGAAAAGAAACAGCACAGATTTCACATATGATTTCCCCCACCTACTTCCCCTCATATATGTTGAAGTTCAACTCCCTTAATTCACAGTGATTAAAGAATTATTGACAATGAAATACAAACTATCTGATTGGCATCGCATTGGAGAACCTTGTGTTAGTCTCTTAAGACTCAAATTACCAAAGTTATCCCTAATGATCGGTAGCCACGAAACCTCCCCACCCCTGAAGAATCAAGAGATGTTTACCTATCAGATCAATTGACACGTTCATATTCTTGACGATCCAGTCAAACCATTCAGTCAGGATGACATAATCTACTTCTGGCATTTTCCCACTGCAAAAAATGTAGGAGAATGATATGAGGAGGCACTTAGTATTGGAACTCGAATTTTAAAAAAAATTGTCAACAGTTCAGTTACTCATCTTCATACTGTCAACTGTCAACTGCTAATCTTTCTCTTCTTCTTCTTCATCATCATCATATGTACACTGGCCCAATCTTCCGCTAAAAGTAATCACCAAGATCTGATATCCGATTGTCAAAATCTCAGCCTGTCTATGACAGTGTGGGTGCTCACAGGTAGTCCTCATTTAAAGACATTAATGGGAACCAGCAACTCTGTAACTGTGTGGTGTGACCACAAAGTGTGGCATCACGTGATTGCATCCTCTTGTGACACCAACTAGGACAGTCCCAATTGCCATTGTTAGGCCTTCATATAGATACATTCTTATCTTTTATTTCACAAAAAGTACAGAAGCAATTCACCACTTCCTTCTTCTGGGTATGTTCACAACTTTTCAGTCCAGCCAACAATCCTGTCTTTTCTAGTGGTCTTCCTCCAAGTTGAAGGGCTGCTCAATTTTATTTACCTTTGAGAATCAGTGAATATATTTCCCCTCACATGTGTGCATTTCTACCTCAATCACTCCATTTTTACGATCCTGTAATCCTATAATTTAGGGTGACTGGAGGGAGCCGAGCGTTTACTGGCCAGATGCCCTTCCTAACGTCTATGTGGAGTTCACAGCAGATTTTGTTTTCTTTGCGCCCTAGGAAAGAAACATCTGCCGCTACCTAGGATCGAACTCTCAATCTTCTGTATGGGAGGTGAGTGACTTCACCACTAGGCCACCACATTGCTGTATTTTTACCTCAACGACAATCAAGCCAAAATATTTTAATGTAATGGATCTGATCTGTTTTCAGTAATCATTCACTAGAACAACTTCAACATTCATATGAATCAGTTCGGTGTTGCCTGGATACCACACGTAACCAAGGACTGTATGCAGAAGAGTCAATGAAAGTAAGTCATATGCTTTCACTAGCTTCCTCCTCCTTAGCTAAGAGCATATAGCATATAACCATGGTTTCTTTATCAGGTTTAAATAATACAAAAGCACAACATAAATTTCATAAAACTAGTGTATAGCTTCCACCCAATCCAACAATTAGCAAAGCTAATTGTATCCAATATGCACGTGCAAAAAAGGCAGTAATGTAATTTCTTCAAAGTCACACATAAACAGCAATCAGACAAATTCAGTAATCGCTACATCATATTACTTCAGCAATTCGGATAAAAGAGAACCAAAAGGTATTTTCGTAGCATCACATCTGTATCTTTGCTCAAGAGATGCTGTAGCAGAGATGCCACCTTGTGGATTAACAAATTGCTTCTCCTTTCCCTCCCATATTTCGGAACGGAAATCTAGTTTGGCTGTATGTTTATTCAGAGTGCAAAAATAATGGCAAGACAAATCGAAAATATATTGCAAGACGAATAGCAGCAGCCAGCGTGCCTTAGTCAGTCAATGTGCAACTGACAATTTGATGGTAATTTGGCTCTGTTCCTGGGCCATTTCAGAATGAATAAAATATGAAGCCACTCTCCTAAAAACATGCTTTGTACCGTACCTGCGATATAAGTTCTCCACAAAAATGTACTTTGCGCTGTGAATTGACCTCTCCATCATTCTTATGGGAGAAATCTGCAAATTAAATGTCAAAAGCCATTTAAAAGGATGGATAGATAGGTGGACGGACAGACACGCAGATTGTTAGCTATTCAAGGGGAGGGGAAAGTTAGCTGTTCTGCAGCATCCACTCAACTGCAGATTCCTTGTGGAAAAGTGATTTATTCCCTTTATTTATTGCCTTAAAGAGTTTATTTAACTTCAGCAAGGCCATTATGAAACCAGCAACCTTGTTAGTTTTCGATCCTTTCGTTCAAGAACTCAAACTGTATAATCCTCCCTCCTCCTATTTTCTCCACGGTGATAAGCCAAGGAAGTAGGCTGAAGTGAAGGCGACGGATCTAAAATTACCCATTTAGAATCCATTGCAGAGACTGGATTTGAACCAGGGTCTCCCTATTCCCTTTCCAAGATCTTAACTACGCTGGCTTTTAATATAGGTAGTTTTCAACTTACAGCCGTTTGTTTACTGACTGTTCGAAGTTACAACTGCACCGATAAAAGTGTTTGACCGGTTTTCACACGATGGTTGCAGCATTCCCATGGTCACGTGATCAAAATTCAGACACCCTGGCAACTGGCATGTATTTATGACGGTTGCCACATCCCAGGGTTGTGTGATTTCCCCCTTTGCAACCTTCTGACCAGCGAAGTCAATGGGAAAGTCAGACTCGCTCAACAACTGCAATGATTCACTTATCAAGTGTGGCAAGGAAGGTCGTAAAGTGGGGATAAAATGAACAACCACAACTAACAACTGCGGAAAACTTAGCTGCAGAAAATTTGGGCTCGATTGTGGCCGTACATTGAGGACTACTGACCTGCTCTAGGATTCTAGTTATTACTTTATAAAACGTACCATTGGTTTTGTATGCCGGTCCAACATAGTCAACTGCACGTAAGTCTGTAATGTCAGTCCCCACCGGTTTGCGTCTTGATACATTAAGGCCTGCCATTGGCGAGAAAACAATAAGACTATATTCAGAGGAGAGGAGAGGGGAAGGGAGGGGAGGGGAGGAGGAGGGGAGAGGAGGAGAGGAGTTGCAATATTAGGAAAGGAGAGGAGGAGAGGAGGAGAGGAAAGAGGAGGGGAGGAGGAAGAGGAGAGGAGGAGAGGGGAGGACAAGAAAGTTGCAATATGAGGAGAAGAGAGGAGCAGAGGGGAAGGGGAGGGAAGAGGAGGAGGAGGGGAGAGGAGAGGGGAGGACAGGAGTTGCAATATTAGGAAAGGAGAGGAGGAGAGGAGGAGGGGAAAGGAGGAAGAGGGAAGAGGAGGGGAGGAGGAAGAGGGAGGAGGAGAGGGGAGGACAAGAAAGTTGCAATATGAGGAGAGGAGCGGAGCGGAGGGGGAGGGGAGAGGAGGAGGAGAGGACAGGACGGAACAGGAGTTGCAATATTAGGTACATGAGTACATATAGTTCCAAATCCTCCAGTATTTATTTAATTTATTGTCCCCAATGTGAAGGACTTACTAAGTATATTCAGTTCTGAATGGGACACTGGCCATCAAGGAAAATTTGTGGCTCATATCTTCCTTTGGACCTAAATGTATTTTGGCTTCAAAAGGTTTAGCACTTGAGGCCTACTATTTTTTTATTTTATTTTTTAAAAGAAGGCTTGAAAATCATGATCAAATTACAAAGAAGTAGTACAGCACATGCTGTCTTGCAATAGCTTATTCTAATGAATCATATAAGCAACCTTATTGGGGGGGGAAATCTAAATAATAACTCTTGAACTTAGAGTATCAATATATTTTCTGGTGTTAGACAAGGGTAGTTCAGCTTTACTTTCTCATTATAATTCAAGGGCTTTCAAGCAGTTACAACAATTAATACAGAAAGTAAGCCCAGGAGCTTCATTCTAGCAACTCACCAAAGGGTTGTGACCACGGACATTCCTCCATTTAGATACTGGTTCTGTCAACACCTGGGTTGAAAGTTTTAAAAAATAATAATCAGTGCAATACAGAAAATTTTAGTTTACTTCTCCGAAACAACACTACAGAAACGACCAAGGAATGTGGAAGATTAGCTGCTGGTACCCTCAGATAAATAGCATGCAAAGTATGTAAGCTTCTATATGACTGACTTCTTTGCCTGACCAGTTTTGCCCTTGAAAAAATTACCTTACGATTCCTCTTATGCTCTTTCGCTACTATGCGAAACCACTAATCAATGAATTATGTATATTAGTGGTTCTCAACCTGTGGTCTACAGACCTCTGCAAGGCTGCCACGTCGTCACAAATTTGAAGAAATGTCATTTAAATCTTGCATTAAGTCTTGAGGGTCCGTGGACACAAAACGGGGTGCGTGATGAAGACAAGGTTGACAACCCCTGATTTGTGATCTTTTCACTGTTTCATTAGCTTCTGCTTTTGTCTCTGCTTTGTGTTTCTTTCTAATTCTGCAGTGTTTAAGGAAGTTTCGTCTTGATTTATTTATTCATTTAAAAAAAAAAACATTTTTTTTTATTTTTGCCACACCTTCTTTAACTTCGCTTTCTGAACGTCCAGCCAGCCTTTTCAATCCTCCCACCGTTTTTATAGAAGCTTAACACAAGCACTTTCTGTGGCGGTCCAAGCTGGTATATGTCAGTTTCAGAAGTGATGCAGCAACAGACAGCTTTTGAAATTGACGTACAGCGATAGAGATGGGTTTAAACCAGGTTGGGTCTGCCAGTTACCAGTTAACAACTGAGTCCGCTTTTTTCAAAGATAGGTATGTATTAATGAGCAAAATGCCACTCAAATTATAGCAGACCACCCCCTTTATTATAGTTTACTAGCAGGGTGCCCGTGCTTCACTAGGAAACTATGTAATTGGATAAGTCTTTGGGGAGGAAAATTGGGGGGTGAGGGTGAAATTCTGCCTCAGCCTACCAGCATCTATCGGTGTTCATCTGGCTAGAGTCCTGTCAGTGTGTTAGAGTTGAGGGCTGTTTGGAAACTGAAACAGTATTTGCTGTGTGAGCAAGGAGACAGCAAGGAGCCTGGGCATGGCTTAGCTCAACTGCAGTCGGAACAGATTCCTTTTCAGGTGGGGAGGGGGAGTAGAACTCCTTAGCATCAGAGCATGTTAATAATAATAATAATATATGAAATATTAATGTTCTGATGGTCATTTTGAAAAATCCTTTCTTAGTGAGCCCCTAGAAGCCAAGAGGAACATACGTGCCAAATTTCAAGTTTGTAGGCTTTACGGTTCTGGAGATTTTGTGATGATGTGTGAGTGGCATTTCGCTTTTATATAAAGTTCCAGCCTGTTTTCACCAAAGCTTTTCAGGTGTTATGTATTTTGTGGAATTGAGTTTTACAAATGAATTTTTATTACGTTTTTGTAATCTGCCCTGAAGCATTGAAAACAAGTCATATAAAGTAGTTTGAGGGAAGGGGAAAAAACAGCAACGTTTTTGGAACTCTCACCAAGACACGATATTCAAAGGAACTGTGGTGGGGGGGGAAAAATTCATAGGGCAGGAATTTCACTAAACTTGTGAACCATAATCCTGATCCTATTTGTTTCCAACCACATGAAGCACACTTTAAAAAGAAACTTAAGGAGCCACAATGCATCACCTCAATGCCAGTGTTTTTAGCAAAATAATCCAGGCAGGTTGTTTTCCCGCTAGCAATATTCCCCTCAATGCAGATCTGATGAAAACAGAAAGAACAAAATCCTGATTAACGCTGGAGGGTTGATGAAATGACAGCAGGTAAACAGGCTTAATGGTGATACTCAAATTCCGCAGAAAGTTAGAACTCTTTCAATTTGAAAAATCTAGAGGACTTTGTTTTCTCTCTGCATAAATTAAAAACCCTCCCCAAACCCACATTGTAAATCACCACATAATCAAGTTACATGGTTTAAGCCATCTTATAGGTGTCTTTATAGATACCCTTAAACCATTTGCTGAAAGAATATCTTTCTCTACCACGGGATGGTCTTGAAGGAAATACTCAAAAGTTCATATAGAAACAAGGGCAAACACATTCCTTAACCCTTGGGAAAGGAGAAAGTATTATGAAAATATTCAGGCTAGTTCCTTCCTAACATTCTGGGGTGTAAGAAAGAGGAGAAGAAAAATACACCCAACTTTCTACTTATAGCCTACTGATTCACAACCAATTCACAATCCAATTCTGTTACTATAGTCTACACGATTTCAATAAAGCTTTGTTCTAACCTTTTTGTGGAGTCAAGTTTCCCATCTGGATAAATTCAAAAACTGGATACATCACATATCAAATAAAAAGGTGGCACAAAGTCCATGCAATCATGTTATCAATCAAGCGAGCGAGCATGAATGCATCAGTTTCCAGTCACTTCAATTAGGGTTTCAATACAGAACTTCACATATTCTTCCCATCTGCAGACTGTATGCCCCAATATTGTTGTTATTCTCCTTTATGGAATCCAACAAAAAGATTTGCAAGTCTGCATTCAGTAATGCAGTGATTTTTTTCATTACTGTCTCATTAATGCAATACATGGGAGGTTCATACTTACAACTGTCTTTTTTTCTCCTCCGTTTTCCAGGTGCTTATCTTTAAAAGAAAACAAAAGCATTCAGTTGGAAGAGTAATTGGTGCTGGTAATAAGTTGAAATATTAGTAGTGCTACAAAGCAAAGGGCAATATAGTATTAAGGCTATTTTATATGGAAGACTATAGAAACAGCAATCATGGAGAAATGGGTTATGAAGACAACAGAAATGGCTAAATTGACTTGTTTTAATTACGTTAATTAATTCTGGCAGTCTAAAGACAAAACTAGACACTGAAGAACTTATTTAAAGAGAAAACTACAATTACTTTGATAAAAAACTGGAAACCACTTATGGACTTTTTGCTGCATATGGATAAAAATGAACTGGTGATTTCTGGATATGTTGATTAGAATGATTTGTCTATGGGAAGAAAAGGAACTATGACATGCAATATAGGAGGGAGAAAATGGTAATCATTATGTTTGCAACTGCTGCAAAGAACCAGATTTGCTTAAATATCTTTCTTCTTGCTATTCTTCTGTTTCCTTTTATCCTTTTTGCTATTTTTCTGTCATTTTTAAAACCTTTGTAAAATCTTCTTTTAATATCAATTATTTAAAAGAAGATGATGATCAAGGATAGGAGGTTGAATAGCCTTGCTAGAATCCTAATCAACAGTGCCGCTAAATGGCGGAATTGAATTGCAAGACATGCCATCAATGTCACTTTATTTGTTCCTTGAAAGTTTCACGCGTCATATTAAGCCATGAGATGGCTTGGTTGTTAAATACGATGTGAAACTCCAGCCAATGCAAACTAGAATTAATAGATATTTTGGCACAATGTGTGAAAGAAAAAGTCAAACATCTTTGCCATTGCTGGATAGAGAGGAGGGGGGGAAAGGTAAAGATAGGACAGGGGTAGCGTGAATGCACGTGCCACAAACACATCTGCACAGCACTTATCCTCATCACACCGGATGCAGACACAAGAGGACAGGAAGGATGTGGGAAAGGGCAAGACTGGGTAACAGAATCCAGATTCTCTTGGATCAAAGCAAGGACCAACTGACATATTTATCCAGGAAACAAGAATAGCCCTGATCACAGACTAGACCCAGCTCAATGTCTTTGTCAGATGTTGGCATCTTGTCTGCCATTCAACTCTTATTTCACAGGCCTCGTTTCATACCGGATCCTCATTAAACCCAGAGTTGTGACACTTTCCCATGAATACATTTACTATGAGATAAGCTTTTATGCATCATACACCACTTCAACGAAGGCAAACATACACACACACACACACACCCTAAAAAAGCAGAAACAGTAATGCTCCAAACTCTTCTTGGTCACAAGTTAGAAATTTCAGCTTTCCAATTCAAGGGGTACTAAAACTTGAATACTTGAATACAGCTCATCAGTCTGGAACCCACATTATGTATCTGATATTAACACAGTTGAGAAAGCCCAGAAATATTTCACAAGAAGAGTTCTCCACTCCTCTACTCATTGTAGAATACCTTATGCCACCAGACTTGAAATTCTAGACCTAGAAAACCTAGAACTACGCCGCCTTCGGTCCGGTCTAAGTATAGTACATAAAATTATCTACTGCAATGTCCTACCTGTCAATGAATACTTCAGCTTCAACCATAACAATACAAGAGCACACAACAGATACAAACTCAAGGTAAACTGCACCAAACTTGATTGTAGGAAATACGACTTCAGCAACAGTGGTCAAAAAGTTTGGAATACTCTACCTGACTCTCTGGTTTTTTCCCCAAACCCCAAACATTTTAACCTTAGACTGTCTTCTATTGACCTCACCCCTTTCCTAAGAGGTCTGTAGGTGACGTGCATAAGCGCACCAATCGTGCCTACCGTCCCTGTCCTATTGTTTCTTTTTTATTTTTCTTATATGTATCCATTTCAATTCTATGTTTATACTTATACCTGTTATCTTATAATCGCTTGACAAAATAAATAAACACTCCCTTCGTTCATTTAATGAATTAAATAAGCAATCTACGCTTCTATTTCCACGTGGTTTTAGCATTCCCAAGCCACTTTTTAAACAAAACACAGGCGAATCTCGGAGCACCCCTGGGACCGTTTGCATCTTCCGATGGGCAGCAGCCCAGAAACCTGGCCAGCCCCCGCGTTCCCCATCCCGGGAATGACCCCAGCCCAAGCCAGGCCGGACATACAAGAGGCGTGCTGGGAAGACCCGGCCATGGCGCAGCGTTGATCCCTCGGCGACGCAGGGCGGCGAAGCTCCGAGAAGCCGGTTTTCCAGCTGCAGGAAGCCGAAAGAGGCCCAGCCGCCCAGAGCTGGAAGCCAGGCAGCCGGAGCCGGTGACGGAGCGATTGCATGCACCACATCGCTCGTGTCCGGCCGCGGAACCGGAGGGCGGCCGCGTTGCAAAAGTCAGGAAAAGGGAAGCTGCCCGGGCAAAAGACCCACTTCCCTTCTGCCGCTCCAGCAGCTGCGCTTTGCAACGAGGGGGGGGGGGGGGGGGGGGGGGCGCGCCGCGGGGCTCCGCGGGGGGGGGGGGGAGTTGGCGTCCACGCGTGGTGACGGGGGGGGGGTAAACCGCGCCCCCCCCCCCCCCCCCACTTTGATCAGGTGCAGGCGGGCGGGTGCGATATTCAGTTCAAAACTTTGCATCTAGCATTCGCACCATCCGCTAAGCGTAAGTGAGCTCAGCCCGCTTGAACAACCCATGATTCTGGCTATTATTATAGACGCCCAGGGAGGGGGTGGGGTAGTGAATTGGGTAAACTTGGTTAAGTGGATTGTGGGATGGGAGTGAGGCAAGGGCTCAGCGGTGGCTTGGGGGTTAGCTGCTTTCTTTCAACCCAGCCTTCCTCAAGGGGGTTGATTTGGAAGAGATTAAAATGAAGGGTGTGAAAGCAAACCAAGTTGTCGATGAAGTAATAAGCAATAATCTGATTCACCAAAATGCTAAAATCAAGTTTGCTAGTTACGATGGATTTGTTAACCATCAGAATGGCCTCTGCATTGCAGAGACTGAAGAATCAGAATGGGAGCTTTCAAGAAGAGACTGGACAGCCATCTGTCAGAAATGTTATAGGGTCTCCTGCTTGAGCAGGGGGTTGGACTAGATGACCTACAAGGTCCCTTCCGACTCTGTGTTCTATTCCTATTTCTGTTTCTATTCACTGAACAAGGAAATCAGTGGTGGTATTCAATTTTTTTACGACCAGTTCTGTGGGTGTGGCTTGGTGGGCGTGGCAGGGGTAGATTACTGCAAAATCTCCATTCCCTCCCCACTCCACTAACCTGCTTTCCAGCTCCGTTCTCCTGTGCTGGGCAACCAAAGAAGACCCAGCCAATCATCTGGGAGGCAGAGAAGAGATGGGGGCGGGGCCAGTCAGAGGTGGGATTTGCCGGTTCTGCAAATTACTCAAAATTTCCACTACCGGTCCTCCAGAACTGGTCAGAACCGGCTAAATAACACCTCTGAAGGAAATATTGTGGACAGGAACTCAGTCACTCCCTTATTGTTGACTGTTGCAACACACTGTACGTGGAGCTGAGAAGCTCTCACATACAAGGCAATGACCAAACTACAACAGGTAGTCCTCAATTTACGATCAAATTGAGCCCAAAATCTATGTTGCTTCATGAAAAATTAAGTGTTGTGAGTTTTGCCTATTTTAAAACTTTTCTTGCCACATTTGTTAAGTGAATCGCTCCAGTTAGCAACTTAGCAACATGGTTGTTCAGTGAATCTGGCTTCCCCACAGACCCTTGTTTGTCAAAAGGTTGCAAAAGGTGATTACATAACCCCGGGACACTGCGACCATCATAAATATGAACCAGTTGTCAAGAGTCCAAATGTAAATCGTGTGACTATGGAGATGCTGCAACGGTCATAAGTGTGAAAATTGGTCATGTCACTTTTTTCAGTGCAGTCGTAACTGAACAGTCACTAAGTGAACTGTTGTAAGTCGAGGACTACCTGTAGTAGATCCTACCCACAATTGTAGGAGAATGCCACTTTGCAGTCACTACACTGGTTCCCCAGTCCCTTTTCAGGACAAATTAAAAATACAAGTGATGACCGAAACATTCCAGAAAGGGTCTGCCTGCACAGCATGAAGCCTGCCAAGCAGTTTTTGTGCAGTCCATTAGCATTTTTTGAAAACCAATTCATTGTCATCAAATGTTGCCACTGGCTAACTTTTCAAAGCCACTTCTGCCTCGAAAGACATGCTGCAAAGCACCTCAAGGCCTCTCCCGGATGCCTCTGCTAGCCGCCAAACAGCTGATTGACATGCCAGGTCTCCCTCTGTGGCCTGCAATTAATTCTCACATATCAACGTGGCCTTTTCACTCTGAGTGGTCCCAGCCTGCCCTCCAGCAACATGCTATATTAGGATTTTGGCATCCTCCGGGAGCACAGGTGGAGTCTTGCATAATTGCCCATTCTCTTCCATTGCCATGGAAACCACAGGAGAAATAATGGATATAAATTACAGAGGTTAAAAAGGGAAAAAATGCCACAGAGAAAGGACATTAAGTTAAAAATGGATATAACCAAACATAAAATGGGTCTAATAGAAAAAGAAGAATTAGCACAAAAAATTAGAGGTGCCAAACAGAACTATTTTGAAGATGCAAATAAACCAGGTAGATGGTTAGCATATAAATTGAGAAAGGAGAAAGAATCAAGGAAAATATTGCAATTAATAGATGACCAAGGCCAAGTTTGCTATGGTAGTAAAGAGAAGAAGGAAATTATTTGAGATTATTATGGGAAACTATACACACAAGAGAATATTGATGAGGAAAGAGTTAAACAGTATTTACAGAATGCTAATTTACCCCAGATACCTAAAGAGATTAAAACAATGTTAGAAAGCAATATAATGATGATGAAGTTAACTGAAGCACTTAAGAAACAAAATAATGGAAAGGCACCAGGCCCAGATGGATTTCCGGCAGGATTTTACAAAACATTACAAGAATCATTGAATTTTCCATTGCTAGAAGTTATGAATGAAGTTATGTTAAAGAAGAGGATACCTAAATCATGGTCAGAAGCTTATATCACACTTGTTCCAAAAGAGGAGGCCGATCCATTACAAATCAAGAGCTATAGACCTATCTCCCTACTAAACGCAGATTATAAAATCTTTTCTTCAATATTGGCAGAAAGACTTAAAAAATATTTAAATAACTTTATCCATCCTGACCAAAATGGATTTCTACCAAAGAGACAAATCAAAGACAATATGAGAGTAATCTTGGACACTTTGGAATACTATGAGGCACATCCCGAAAAAAAATGGCTTTGATATTTCTAGATGCACAGAAGGCATTTGATAATGTGAATTGGCGATTCATGCCATTACTGCTGGAACAGATGAGCTTTGCTAGAAAATTTATTCAAGCAATAGAAGCTATATATCATAAGCAGGTGGCAAAGGTAATGAGAGGGAGAACTGACAGAATCTATCGATATAAGAAAAGGAACAAGACAAGGGTGCCCACTATCACCTCTGTTGTTTGTGTTAACTTTGGAAGTGCTAAATAGAAATATTAGAGATGAAAAGAATATAAAAGGGATGAAAATTAAAAAGGAAGAATTTAAGTTGCAAACATTTGCAGATGATCTGGTTTTTATCTTAGAAGACCCACTAGAAACAGCATCAAAATTGATAGAAAAGATAGAGACATATGGAAAGGTGGCTGGTTTGAAAATAAATAAAGATAAGACAAAGATCTTTACAAAGAATATGCTATCAAGACAAAAGGAAGAATTGGCAGACCTATTGAAAATTCAGGTCACAAATAAGACCAAGTACTTGGGGGTATACTTGACAGCAAGATGCAGTACACTAAAAGAGAATAATTATATCAAACTTAAACAGCATATAGCGCTAGATTTGGCGAAATGGGAAAATTTACAACTGTCATTAATAGGGAGAATATCAACAATCAAGATGAATATATTACCCAGAATTTTATATTTGTTTCAAACAATTCCAATTAGGCTTGGAAAAGACTACTTTGAAGATTTAAATAAAATTGTGTTGAAATATATATGGCAAGGTAAGAAAGCGAGAATAAAGTTAAAACTTTTGCAAGATGCTAGAATAAGAGGAGGATTTGGTTTGCTTAATTGGGAGTTGTATTACCAAGCTACAAATTTGATGTGGGTTAAGGAATGGATAACATTAAGAAATACTAGATTGTTGACATTAGAAGGACATGACCTGTTGTTGGGCTGGCATGCTTTTCTATGGTATAAAGGAACTAAAACACAGGGGTACTTTAAAAGACATTATATACGGGAGTCTCTGTGGTTAAATTGGGAGATTAAAAGACAATGTTATTTGAAAATTCCAGTCTGGCTATCGACTATTGAAGCATTTTCTTATCCTATAATATACAAAAAGGAACAAACAGTTAGATATGGTGAAATATTGAATGAAAAGGGTGAACTTAAATCTATAAAAAAACTAGAGGAACAAGGTATAAAGATGAATTGGTTTTCATATGCGCAAATACATTCAAGGTATGATAAAGATTCTAAAACAGGTTTCTATGATAAACTGATTGACTTAGATAAGATTTTGACAGGTACTGATGAAAAGGTGATTAAAAATTGTATGGATATTTATTAGAAATTAAACGAGAAGAACAAGTTAAAGAAACTATGATTGCTTGGGGGAAGAATTTTGGATATGGGATTGATCTTGAGAAATGGCAAAAATTGTGGTCTCAAGATTATAAAATGACAATGTCAACAGCATATAAAGAAAATTTGTATAAGATGTTTTACAGGTGACACTTTCCCCCGACAAGAATAGCAAGAATGTTCAAGAATAAATCCAAAAAATGTTGGAAATGTCATCAGATACCTGGCTCATATTACCATATGTGGTGGACTTGTGCGGATGCTAAAAAATACTGGACTAGAATCCACACGTGGTTGGAAAAAATGACAAAAAAGCATATAGATTTGAAACCAGAAATATTTTTATTGGGAATTACCTGAAATATATAGTAAAGACTTGAAATACCTGATTGTAAATGTATTAACAGCGGCTAGGATTGTATTTGCTAAAAACTGGAAAAATAAGAAAATACCATCACAGGAGGAAATCATTAAGAAAATATTGGAATGTGCTGAAATGAGTAGATTGACATTTGAAATTAGAGAACAAAATGATAAACAATTTTATAAAATTTGGGATCTATTCTATCAATGGTTAGATAATAAAATATAGTAATGAAATATGTAGACTTTTAGAAAATAATAAATATATAAAGATGTATTATTTTCTAATTATATCTACAAAATGATTCTAGGATAGATCTGGGACAATGATACGAATTGTCATAAAACAAATTAGGTAAAATATGATCATTTTGGAAAACACGAATGAATAAAAGTATAGTCAAATGATTGATTAATAATGATATTAATGTATTTAATATATTGATTGAAAATACGAGATTATATGCAGTGTAATTATAACTGAAGACTATGAAATGGAAGCACAAAACAATTTGTAAACCAACCGGCACACTGTATGTACATATATGGAAGATGATTCGATGTTTTTATGTTTTCTTTGTTTATGTTTGTTTTAAAACCAATAAAAAAAATTTTTAAAAAATGAATGAAAAAAAAAGGGAAAAATCCTGATAGCAGGAACAGTAAGACAGGAAGAGTGGAACAGTCAGTCTACAGAAGAGAAACAGCTCTGGAGATTTGGGCAAAGAGACTAGACAACCCTTTCTCAAGATAATGGTTTGGTTTTCCTCTGCAGTGCAGACGGTTGAGCTAGATGACCTCATGGTCCCTTCCAGCTGCACAATTCAACAATTATGAGAGGAAAGGGAGCAGAAGTCAGATCTTCTCAGCAGCTGTTCCAACATTGTGGGACATGCTATCACCAAATTAAACTTACCCCTTTCCTCTTGGATTCGGAAAAACCCTGAAAAGCTCCCTTTCACACTGCCATTTTATCTGACTGATGGGGACTAGGCAGCCATTTTTGGCTACACAATATTGAAAGTTACTATGAATTGTTCTTTTGCTTCCCTGTTATTCTTCCATAATCAAGATTAGATACAGTAGTGTAAACATTGGTAAATAATTGGAACAAATATCCACAAAATTCCTAAGTCGTGCAAAAACAATTCCAGGTGGAAGTTTGAAACAAACGTTCCACCGCTAATAATAACAGTCAAGAAGCACAATAAATATTTGAGTCAAGAAGAATCAACATCCTGGTGTTTCAAAGAGCTCCTTTTATCTCAGAGACGCAAGTAAGAAAGTTCTTGCTAAATTATTTCCTGTTGCAATACTGGAACTCTTTTAGCACAGCTAATCATTGTTTTGGACCAGAAAAAGACCAGGAAAGTCATATTGTACAAGCCATGATAGTAATAGTAACGATGGCTTAAAAGCTAGTTGAAGTGTGTTCTTATGCAACACTTTCAAAGCTTGAACTAAAACATTACCTTATGTTTTCACATAACCCCTGAATCTAGCCAATGTAATCGGTAAGTCGCATTTTATGTTTAATGCAGGAATGAGGCTCCGGCCAAGGATTATTTCTCATTTAATAAAACTGTAAGCAACCCAGAATGATGTGAGACTGCATAAATGGATTAAAAAATAAATGAAAAACCACTTGTCAACTCATATCTCCTGCATCTTTGCAGAAGACACCTTTGTCACCCAAATCTCTTCCAAAATAAAGTTTGAGAATATATCCTCTTTAGCTCATTACTGAACCAAGGACACCTTTCTAGTGGATCCCAAACTCTCTTACTGACCGATCTGACCAATACAATTCTATTTAATCTAAAATAAGAGTTAATCACAGCATCTCAAATAAGTCTTCCTTGCAGCTATGATTAGCTTTGCTAGAAGAATTCTGGTATTGCAACAGGAAATAATTTAGCAAGAACCTACTTATTTATACTTTCATTGTTTATAATTCAATCCTGACAGGGGCTCAAAGGGACTTCAGTGTCCCACAGCTCTGGCCTATCCAGGGTTAAACTAACCATGGCTTATTCAACTCCTCAGACTTTCCAAGCTTATAAACTATGGGGGGAACCTGAAACTGGACCAAAAAGGTCTTTTTTTTTTCCTACATGGGAGACCAAAAGGTGGGCTGTTTTGTGGCTTCCTTCTTACAAGACCCCTGCAAGGTAGACCCATCCAGGGAGAGACAGAAAGAGAGGTTCAAGTCCACTTTGGGGGTCATTTTTCTCCCCATTTCCTCCACACACACCCATATTTTTCCTCACAACTGCTTTGTGAGGTAGGCCAGCCAGGAAAGAAAGGAGGGGGCTGCTCAACTCCCCCCCCCCCGCCCCACTCCACTCCTTTTTTCCCCCCCCCCCCCCCAGCCCAGCAACAGCCCGGCCGGGTAGGACGGCCAAACCGCCCCGAGGAGGCGTGGAAGGAGAACGCGGTGCCCTCGCCCTCTTCCTCCGCCGTCGACCGGCGCCCTTTCCGGCACCGCCCGCAGCCTCGCAGAGCCGCCATGCAGAAGGTGGAGGTGGACCGGCAGTTCCCGCGCTCCGTGGGCGGCATCCTCAAGGTGGCCCGCATGGTACGTTGAGGCCAGGCGTGGCCTCTGAGCGTGTGCAGAGCGCCTCCCTCGCCAGGCCCTGCGGCCTCTCGGGGACGGAGGGTGGGTTGAGTGGGCGCGTTGAGGTTTGTCCGCTATGGTTTCTTCCTCCTCCTTTCCTTTCTTCCTTCTTTTTCTCCCTCTCGGCTGCTTTCCCCTTTTACTCCTCCATCCTTCTTTCTCCTTTCCTTTCTTCTCTCCTCCTTTCCC